ACGTCAAACATAGGTCACACTTGAGTTCAAAAGTGAACATGAACAACAAAGAGAATTGAGAGTTAATGAAGACAAAAGTAGAGTAGGAGAAGACAATATAGATGACAAAAGACAAGAGTTGGCTAGGACAAGAAAGAAATGACCTAAGAAAGGATCTAGAATTGATTCACAAAACCAAAACACTCAAGAGATGTAAGCTGAAAACATCATGTATTCAATTAACAATGTATAACCGAGAAGAAACTTTGTGAACAAAACTCCTTATATGGCTTTTTCTTTTTGAAATTAGGTTTAGCACTTTCTTTTTCTTTTTTTTTTAATCACTTTGCTTTTGTATTTTTCTTTGAAACTTTGTTCTATTTTTTTTTTTTAATCTTAGGAGATTGCCTTTTTCTCTTTACACAATATGCAAACACCACTCTCGGTCACACTTAGAATTGGGCACAAAACCGGATTCAAATTTGAAGTGCAAATGACAAGCAAATTAGGTTAAGATGTAATGGAAATGCAACATGCTTTTGATGCTTGCTTGTTTGTTTAGCACATGCACGGTTTTGGCTCCAAATTCAAAATTCAAAATGAATCTTAAACACAATTTTCAGCAAACAACAAATCACACAAGATCAAACTCACGGATAAGGAGAAAAAAATTTCAAGACATTTTCTAGTATAGGAAACCTAAAAATTCTAAGAAAACTACTAATGAACTAATAGTAGTTTATGAACTCAAATTCAAACAAAAATTATGAGCATACCAAAAGACTAAGGATCTCGGCCAAATCCAGAAAATATTTCAAAATGCAATTAAAATCAAAAAGGTTCAAACAAGCATAGCTAGGAATGATGAACAAGACAAGAACTACACATTACTACTAGACATAGATTTAAAATAAAATGAACTCAAACATACAATGAGCGAATAAAATTTCAATTACGACTCAAGCAAATCAAAAAGCTCATAGGCAGAAAATTCCTAATAGGAAAAAGAACTGGAGCATGATTCATGGAAGCAAATAGTCATAAACGCATAAATGAATCATTCAAGCAACATGATACTAGATCCATCAAATTTTAAGGCAAAAATTAGATCTAGGAAAGATTAAACTCTAAAGTGACAAGAACACAAGATGAACATAAGAACAAGATGAACAAGATGACACAAGAACAAGATGAACCACAAATCAAAATTCAAAAGACAAGATGATGAACTTATCTCTTGAAGACCAAAGCTCTTGATACCACTTGGTGAGATTCCACTTGGAAACCTCAAGTATTCCTTCAATGCTTCTCGGATTCCTTGGAAAGAGGTCAAGGAAGATGACTCTAAGAAGCACCAATGTGACCTAGGCTTGCTCTAGCTAAGTCCGGAAGAAGGAGAGATATCCTAGCTCTACAAGGAGAGGAGCTCAAGTAGGGTAGAGATAGGATAAGGTGACTTTCGGAGGGGGAGAATTCTAAGAAGAGAAATCTCATGTATATCATCCAAAAGTGTTTACAAGTTTCAGCCATATGGATTTTATAGAGAAAAATAGGTCAAAGTGAACCATGGGTTAGCCTAAATCCTAAACCCTAAACCCTAAACTCGGATCACACCATGTGCACTTCATTTGGAATGTCATTAGGCTTCCATTTGAGTTGCATTTCGGTCACACCATGTGCATGTGTTGCACATGGCCGAAATGCATACCAAATGTGAAACTAATTACATTCTAATGTAAATACACATGCAACCTAAATAACCCTAAATTCAAATGACCCTCAAATGAAATCCTATTCTAAATGGCCGGAAATACAAGGCCTAAAAGAAATACAAGGCACTAAGGCCCAACCCTACACTACTCCTAATCTACTTGGGCTTGAGCCAAAACCCAACTAAACAATGTGATGGGCTTTCCTTGAGCTTGGGCCCACTCCTCTTGTATCCTCCTTGTCATAGCCCTAGTAGTTGGGCCCTTGGCCCATGGGCCTCCTCCATCAATCTCTCTACCCTTATCCCTCATATATGCCTAGAGTTGTCAAAATGGGTTCCGACCCATGGGTCAACTCGACCCACCTTGAAAAGAGGTTAAGTCAGGCCAAAAAAAATGAAAATTTTCATAATGGGTCAAAAAATGTAACTCGGCCCACCCGGGTTGAACCCGTGGTGGGCCGGGTTACCCACCTAACCCACTTACACTCCCATCAACTCAAGCCACTAACAACCCATTTAACCCATTTATTATTATATATGTATTATTTTAGCAAGATACCATTCTTTTTTGTAGATAAAGATAAAGTTGATGTTAAACAACATAAAATTGCTATAAATTTATCTACTCAAGCCTCCAATGAAGTTTAATATTGATGAATAATCATTCTCATGAAAAGATTTTTATTTTTTTTGTTTTAATTATTTAAAATTTTACATTTTTTAATTTAAGTTTAATGTTGTATGCATGATACTTAGTTTGAAAATTTTTACTTTATGTTAGAGATTATTTTAGATTGGAGTTTATTTTAAATTAAAAAAAATTAAAAAATTAAGTGGGTTGGTGGACCAACCCATTTAGCCCACCAACTCGTGGTGGGCCGGGCCGAGTTAAATTTTTTTGGACATTGAGGTTGGTGGGTCAAGCTGGGCCAATCCACTTAAAAAGTGGGTTGAAGTAGACCAGGCCAAATGGGTCGAGCCGAACTATTTTGACAGTTCCATATATGCCCACAAAGATTTGACAATCTCACTATCCTCACCTAGAGTGAAGATCTTGTAGATCAACACACTTCCTATAATTTCAACCGTTAATATGCACATTTTCTGATAGTCTTCTCTAAGTTTTCTCTTACTAGTGCTCTAGGTTTTAATTAGTCTTCGTGTTAGACTCACAGTCTAGCTTAATTACCTCTCCCTTTTTATTTAATTAATAAAATATTCTTGTATATTATACTCTAATTATTTTAAATAATTTTATTTATTATAAAAAAAATTGATGTTACAAGTAATAATAATTTTCTATATATTGAGACTCTCATTGTATAAGTATTGGTCCTTAGATGAAGGAGCCCATAACAAGTTGTCGTGGTCCCAAGGTTAGCTTATTTTACCTATTTATAGATCATTTTGCCTTAACAAATTTACTTTGCAACACTCCTATTTTATTTACAGTTACAATAACCACAGATAAATATCGTGTTTTTTTAAGTGAATATATCATATTAATTTATTTAAATATTGTATAAAAAAAACACAGGAACTATAAAATAAAAATTCATTTTATACTATTACTAATTTTTTTTAAAAAGCAATATGAATAAAATAATATTTTATAGTTACTAATAAACACATATCAATTACGAAAAATAAAGCTGCCTTATTTATTTTTTCCGATCAGGTGGATATAAATGGTTTGTCAAAAGTTAAATTTTCAAAAATTAAAAGAAATTTTTTTTAAAAAAATAAATTTTATTTTTAAAAGTTATTTTTGTCTATTTTCAATTTTATTTTCGTGTGCATACATGCGAATTATTATTTTTCAAAATATAAACAATTTGATTGTTTTTTCATTGTTGTTCAATTTAAAAAAAATTGACATATATATATTCATGACAATATAAAATTCTAATTTAATGGTTAAATTGATAAAATTTACTTTTTACATAAAGAATATTCACTCTTATTCTATTTAATAATTCATGTTCTATATTAAATTTCAATGATTTAGCTAACAAATTAAAAAAATTTAATGTATAAATCAAGTTTATAAATTTTTAAAAATTTAAAAAATTATATAATACTTCATTATATAAATTTAAATCATCATATAAAAATATTTATATATATATAAAATATGAATTATTGAATAAAGTAAGTTTATTAAATATTTTTAAAATAAGTGAATTTTTCATATCTCTTCCTCTTTTTCTATATATTATTATTATTTTCTCCATTCTTTATTTTTTTATCATCCAAACCAAAGTGATTGGTAAAGTTATAGACTATGTGCATGTTTGGATTAGCTTTTGAAACATGATTCTACATTCTCTCCATGTTAAATATCAATTTTACGTGGAAGTAAAATTTTTTTGCTTCAAGCAAACGTGAAAATTCATGTTAGAGTTAAAAACCAAACATGCACTATGTGACACAAGTTCCCAAATAACCACAAATTAAGAAAAAGAATAGCGCAATACAAAAGTTCATTTTAAGTAAAGTTGAGGAAAAACAAAACAGCCACGTCTTTCTGTTTTCAATGCAAAAGTTGTAAAGCACACGACCAACCTTTTAACCCACAACTTTTCGCCCTTGATGGGTTTAGTGTTTTTCTTTTCTTCTCTTTTTTTTTTATAAACAAAACATATAAGAGATAAGATATTCAAATGGTGCCTTAGTGCTTTCAAAATGGAAAGCGGAACATGCACTGTATCGAAAACCCATTCCTAAGCAAGAATCAAACTATAAAGTCAGGGTCAAGACCAAACAAGAACATTTATACTTTATGGGTAAAGTTAAGAAACTGAAGTGGTCTGAATTAAAAAACAATGATAAGAAAATGTTAATTTGTTTGTGTTTAATTGTTTCATAATAATGTGGTATAAATGAAAGTAGGAGACACTTAAAAGTGGTGAGGTCACGTGAGGGAGAAGAGAAGAGAAGAGAAGAGAGCAGTGTTTTAAAAGTCAGATCGTACCGGTCGATCACACCGATTGAACTGAGAATTGGTAGTCTAGTTGGTCCGAATTTTGAGTTAAATCGATTATGCATTTAACCTGTTTTAAATTAGAGTAAATTGATCATTTTTCCGGTTCAACCAGTGAACCGATCGGTCCAACCAGTAGGTCAAACTGGTTAAAAAAAATTAAAATAATTTTTTTTATGTATTTTTTTATATAAAATAAAAATAAATATAATTTTAAATAAATTAAAATTAAAATTTAAGATACAATATAAATTTATTGAAATTTATAAATATAAAATATATACAACATGAATATTTTTTAAAAAAAAATTAATAAAAATTACGTCATACAGTTTAATTAATAATTTACCAATTCAACTTTTGATCTACTACCCAGAACACTAACTAATTTGATTATGGATCCAAATTTTAAAACTATAATAATAACAACTCGAATCAATTCTCTTACAACTTACAAGTATTGCTCCACGAAGGGTAGACCCAACCCGGCCAAACCCACTTGAAAGCTCTAATATTGCACATGTTATCTAATTATATGTTACATTTATTAATAATTACATTTTCAAACGCGTTATTTGAAACTTAATTGTAACCAATTAATCCTATGCAAGAGAAAGCCTAATGTTTATATTTACAACTAGTTTTAAGGAATATTACATTATATCTGAATCCTTTTCATGACTTTATTTTGTAACGAAACTTATTATCATTTTTCTTACTCCATATATTATTTATTTATTACTCTTACTATATTCTAATTAAACATAAGAGGAAAATACTAATAACATATATTTTACATATTATTTTATTATTGTGTAAAATTTACATAAAAGTAGTATTAAATAAAAAAAAAATGGGACATATATAATAAACAAGAAACAACACCTGTCACACATATAGATCATTTGTATGATCCCGGCCATTTGAATTTTATCATATAATGTGTTAAAAAGTATTTTAAAAAATATTTGAATATGCGTTGTCAATATTAATTTTCACGCATGCATGAAATAAATGAAATATTATACATGCAATTAATCCTTACATCCTACGATCATTGACGGGTCAGGGACTAACAAGGCGATTAAAGAAAGTAAGCAAGACATTTGACCAAGTCATGGAGCAGATTATCCAAGACCACGAGCATCCACATAATAAAAAACAAAAAGGATCAAGCAACAAAGACTTTGTGGACATATTGCTATCACTTATGCACCAACCCATGGGTCTTGAGGACGACCAAAATGTCTTGGATAGAAGTAATATCAAAGCTATTATAATAGATATTATTGCAGCAGCATTTGACACGGCATCTACAACGGTTGAATGGGCCATGTCAGAACTCTTGCGGCATCCAAATGTGATGAAAACTCTTCAGGATGAGCTAGAAAATGCAGTGGGATTGAAGAAACATGTGAAGGAAATTGACGTGCAAAATTTGCCTTATTTGAATATGGTGGTCAAGGAGACCCTAAGATTACATCCGGTTGCACCTTTGCTCCTGCCTCATGAGTGTCGAGGAGATGTTACTATTAATGGTTATTATATAAAGAAGAAAACAAGGCTCATAGTAAATGCATGGGCAATAGGGCGAGATCCTAATGTTTGGTATAATGCTGAGATGTTTGATCCCAAGAGATTTGAGAATAACAATATTGACATTCGTGGAAATGACTTTCGAGTGATACCATTTGGTTCAGGTCGAAGAGGTTGTCCTGGGATTCATATGGGTCTAACTACTGTTAACCTTATTCTGGCTCAGTTAGTACATTGTTTTGATTGGGTGCTTCCATTAGGCATGACTCCTGATGAGTTAGACATGAATGAGATATTTGGACTCACGATACCCAGAAGTAAACACTTGTTGGCCATACCAGTTTATCGACTAGTTGATCAATAAGAACAATAATTTCCTGTCAATTTATATTTGTAATAATTTGAAGTCATGTGAAATGTTTAATTATAACGAGTGAAATCTATTTACTAAAATAAATATTAGTTGACTTACTTTATTTAATAATTTATATTTTATATTAAATTTTAATAATTTAATTATTAAATTAAATATTTTTAATGTATAGATTAAATTTATATATTTTAAATTTTTTTAAAAATTATTTGATATTTTTTTTCATCAATTCAAATAGAAGGATAATCATATAAAATAAAAATATTTTATACATTAATTTAAATTTATATAAGGAAGTATCATATAATTTTTAAATATTTTTAAAAATTTATAAATTTAATCTATGTATTAGGTGGAATAAGTCTATTATAATAGTTCAGGCACACTAGAATGAGAAAGATCTAACAATTTATAACTTAATCTTCTAAAACATTGTGTGCTCTAAACACCTTATTTAGAGCTACATGTATTCTATCAAGTTGATCATAATTTTATTAGAAAGATAAGATAATTATCTACAACTTCTATGTTGACATTAAGTGTTAGTTCTACCATCTACTATTTTTAAAAATTACAAAATCACATTTTAGTCTAAACTTAACAGTTTGACCTTCGCTTACTAATTTGATCATAAATTTAGTTCTAGATCTTATTTTTAAGTGATTCTAACAGAATTTAAAAGCTAACATCTAGGAGTACAACTTTTATTAGTATTAAAAAACCTAACTCTTACATTTAATAATACTTTAAAGGCTTACAACATACGTATACTACACTTTGCACACAGAACATGAAGTTCATCTTTTAACTAGCATAATTCTGTCATTCCTTAACATTTTTATGTGATTCTTGAGCCCTGTTTGTAACCCCAAATGTATACTTTCTAACTCAACAATTGAAATTCAACTTCATTAATCACACACGGAGAAATTACATAAATACCAAGGCATAGAATTTTCAAAATTAGGTATAACTCACATCTAAACTCTCTTCTCTAAATTCAATTGGTAAAAACATATATTAAAGTCTATTATACCATCAATTACACAAATTCAATCTTAATTTTACATAATTTCATACTCATAACATCTTCTCATACGATTACCCAAATGCATTCTATTAGGGTTCCCACAAAAATTCACATGTAACTTAAATCATATCAACAAACATTAATGCACAAAATTAACCATATATAATCATAAGTGCAACAATTATAAAAGTAAAATAATTATAAGGAAGCCTAAAATTCAAGAATGAAAAACATTTGGGAAAACCTCTTCATACCATGCTACATAAAAAAGACACCAATACACGAAATTAATCATGAACATATATAATTAATGACAATACAAAAACTAGAAGAATCATATAGGAGACAACAAATCATAAACAAATACAAATTAAAATTCTCCTCATACAACACATACAACAAACAAGAGGCTAGGTGTAAACCTCACTATCTAATAATTATCCCATGCCTTAAAGCAAGATTACTCACTATCCCTTACCTTGATGAATACTTGATGAAGGACATGGATATCCACAATTTTCTACGAGTTTTGGTTCTTCTTCACATTCTTCAAAGTATATACATAATATGAAAAATGAGAAGCATAAAAATAAAAAGAATAAAAATAAAAAGATTTGTCATAACCTCTTTTTAAAAAACTTAATCCACACTTAACCCTTCACTGAAAATATTTTAACCATAGTTCTCTTTTCCCTTCTCTCAAATATTAAAACTTATAAATAAATAATATATCAAATAAATATAGTTCTCCCAACCCAAATAATTATAACAAAATACAATAATTAATAAATATATTTCTTCGAACACCATTATAATTAAAATAAAAAAAATATAAACAATAAACAATTACAATAAATATAAATATTTTTATCCAAATACTTATTATAATAAAATATTATAAAAATACATATTTTTCTAATAAATATTTTGTAAAATAATTTTTTGTAAATATATATTATTTAATTAAAATACTCATAATTATTAAAAGCCTCTAAAATATCTTATTAAACTCTTTAATTACTCAAAATATCCTTTTAATAATTTTAGAAAACTTAGAATTTTACATTAAGAGGTACATCTTAATAACTTAATCTATAACAATATATCAAGGTGATTCATCATTTTCTCGTACACAATTTTTAAAAAGTTTTTATCCTTAAATTTATTATAGTAGTTGCACAATTTTTTTTTAGTGGAAGATAACTCAATTTTATTAATTTAAATAAAAATAGTTTTTCAAAAGTCAATTGCATCATAACCACCTTGTAAGTTTCATATCCTACAACATTAACAAAAACACAAAGTACCTTTTTTGTTAATAATTATTAATACAAGTATCATTATTAAAATAATATTAAAATCAAATATAAAAACACAAAGTACCTTTTTTGGCTTAGAGCCCAAACCTAACAAATTTAAAACCTAGCCAAACCTAGCATAGCGAACCCCATCAGCGGACGACTTTCCTTCATTGCATGGGGACTACGTATTTACGTAAGACATAATTGAATATTAAAGAGGTGTATTGAATTGAAATTTTGAAAAATTATTTTAACATGAAAATAAATTTTAATAGATTAATTTTTTTTTAAGGAATGTCATGATTTTTAAGATTTTTTTTTAAAATATAGATTTTAATCAAGACTTTATAATTTGTATTTTAATGGATTTTAACATATTTTGATAGATTTATATCATAAGATTTTAAAGAATTTTATGGATTTAACATAAAAACATAGATTTATGAAACACATTTAATGTTACAAGAATTAATAAAAAAATTAACATAAATAATAAAGAAAATTAAAATCAACAATTTTTTTCTCTATTTTTTGACAAATAATTGTCTCTATCTTTTGATAAATAATTGACTATAATGTCCTTTTAATTAATATTTCTTCACATTTCTAAAGCTATACTAGTCTTTAATGCATTGACATATTCTTTTTCGTAATCTTGAATCTAAACAATATGTTCCAAATTATGGTATTTATTAACCGGTAGTAATGAAGATGAAGATTTACCCATTGTTTCAATTAGAAATTCATTAAAATGACAATTTTGTAAAGAAAGCTATATAGTGTTTCACATATTAATATAAGTTTGGCTTGTGTCTTTAATAGAAATGAAGACACCGACTTGAAAATTATGTAGCATAATTTAAAAATATTAGATATCCTCTCAATCACATTTTTAAGGATGCATGGTGTAAGTTGAACACTTCATTTTCATTTTGAGGGTTCTTACCATGACTTGTAAAATCTTGGAGATGAAAAATGAGAGAAATGAATAAAAATAAAAAGAAGAAATGAGATAAAGAAGAAAAGAGAAAGAGAGAAGAGAAGCTAAGATATATAGGTAATAGATCAAAAGGAGAGAGAAGCAACAAAAATGAGACAAAAAAAGAGAATGAGATAAGGGAGAGAGAAAGATGAGAAAGAGAGAGAGAAACAATAAAGGCGAGAAAGAAGATTCAAAAGAGAGAGAAAAGAAAGAAAGAAGAGAAATAAAAGAGAAAAAAAGTCATGCAAAATTTCAAAGATTTTTGTGAGATTGTTATATGAATGAATTATACGTGAATTCTAATAAAAAGTTTCACAAAATCTATAATGCAAAACAATTTATTGAAATATCTATTTTTTGAATACCAATAAACTTTTTTTAAGTAAAAAAAATTCTTCATTAAATATCATCAAATTTTGATAAACTCCTAAAAAATTATGATTGTATTAATTGAATACCACCAGATTTTGATATTATCAAAAAAATCATGATTGTCTTAATTGAATATCACAAAACTTTTTTATATTAAAGTCTTGATTAAATACTACAAGATCTTTTTATAATATTTTTGGTTCAAATCTATTAAAATCTTACACACATTAGAATTCAAGGGAAAAAAACTTCATAAAATTAAATTACATGCTATGTGTCAAATTTTGTTCACATCACGACACGTGCATGGTGATTTCAATCCAAATAATCATTTTCTGATTCATGCCTAGCCTATCACTACTAGAACAGTGTTATTTTCCTGCGAATTTTTCTACAAAAAAATATTTACAATATTTTTTTGCGAAAAATAATTTATAGATATTTCTTACAAATTTTGCTACAATTTTAATGATCATAGAAATTTTTTTCCATGGTAAACATTTGCAGAAAATATTGTAAGAATTTTATTTTGTTTCTTGTAAATTTTCTTGCAAAAATAAATTCGGAAGTAATGTTTACTAAATGGTAGAAAAGTTTTTCAGTTAACTTTTCCTGCAAATTTTAATCTGCAAGAAAAATAAAAAAATATTTAAATTTATAAGTTTAATATTTTAAAAAAACTTAAAGTCCCACATCGATTGAAAATAAAACAATTAAAGAGTATATAAGTTGGGCAACACTTACCTTACAAGTTGATTTGTATGGTTGAATGTTAGGTGTAATGTAGTAAGTTATTTCAGAAGGCCCAAAAGCCCAATATGGGTGATTTAGTATCCCAGAACGGGTCGTTCCCAATCTGGAATGGGCTGTTCCAAACTACTAAATTGACCTGTAAATCGTAGTTGAGAACGGGTCGTTCTGGATATAGTACGGGCCGTTTTGGAGGGAGTACGGGCCGTTCTGGATGAATCCCAGAATGGGATGTTCTGGTTTCAGAACTGGCCATTCTACATGTGATTTTTACACATGATGAAGGGGTGCAGAACGGGCTGTTCCAGATTCGGAATAGGTCGTTCTGGCCACTCCTGAACTTCTATAAATAGGGGTTTTGTGTTTGAGGAGAAAATGTGGTTTTTAGAGAGAAGTTTTAGAGAGAAGGACTCTGGGTCTATGAGCTCCTTTTTCTCCCAAATTTCTCTGTATGATTCCTTTTCTCCTCTAGATCTCTAATGTTTTCTGTCTTTTCTTGAAATTCAGATTAGGAAGCTTGCTTTGCGAGGATTGAAGTTCCGAGTTGAGCTTCAGAAGAAAATTCTACTTCTTCTCAGTTATTGGCTATTTTGAGTCAATCCTCATGTGAGGGAAGCTAGAATGTTTTTTGTTTAAGTTTCATGTGAGTTTAGAAACTCAATTGATACATGAAAGTTGAGGATCCATGGCTGGATTGGAGAATTCGCTCATTTTTCGAGGTTTTGGGAAAAATGGGGTTTTTGGTGAATTTGATGCATCAAATGGGTGCATGTTGATTTTGAGTTTATTTTGTGTTGTATGGAGCCTATGCATTGTGTTTTGTGTTTGCATATGGTTGGATTTGTTAGTTTGGATGAGAGATTTTGAACTCTCTGACTGGGATTAGGCTAGGCGCAGGTTGAGCGCGCTAGGCGTGGAAGAGCTTAGGACTCTCGGGTTGGATGTTGGGCCAGGCGTGATTTATTTGTGTCAGGCGTGGAGACTCTTAGGAGTCTCTGTCTCAAGGACACCGAGCGTGACTTGAACGCGCCGGGCGTAGATGAGTTTTACGACTCTCGGGTTGGGATTAGGCTGGGCGAGCTCAGGCTGCGCCGAGCATGAATGTGTTTATGAATGAAATGGTGCTAATGCATGTTTAGTTGAAGTTTTTGATCATGTATGTATGACATATGATGTATGGGGAGGTGTGAGTCATATGTATGCATAGTGATGATATATATATGAATGTTTAAATATGATATGACATGAATATATGTTCATATTATTGATCATAATGGTGGGTAGACGATGTATGATGTATGATGCATTATTGCATGTGATGTCTTATGACATGTGTATGATTATTGATCATAATGGTGGGTAGACCATGTATGATGTATGATGCATTATTGCATGTGATGTCTTATGACATGTGTATGATTGTTGATCATGATGGTGGGCAGACCATGTATGATGTATGATGCATAATTGCATGTGATGTCTTATGGCATGAGTCTAGCCTAGGACTTGAGGAGAGGAAAAATATTTTCGAACTGGAAGAGCTCACATAGAGTCTCTTGAGAGTGGTGCTTGGATAAGCCACTGATATATGAGAATGGTGCTTAGGTAGGCCACTGGATTTGGGAGAGTGGTGCTCAGATAGGCCACTGGGTTGGGTGAGTCTCCTCTAAGTCCTTAGCTAGTGTTGGAGTGGGGTATGAGGTCGAGGGTTATTCCCTTAACCAAGTACTCGGGAAGGTGCGTGGATCCTTGCGGATAGTCGGTGGGCGAACTCCACAATTGACTTGGTTAATGCATGCCAAGGTCGTGGTAAGCCCGTACCCAGCTGTGCTATACCTGACGGTGGATCTGGACTTCCAATTGTGTAAGTGACATCATCCGAGTAAACCCGAGTGAGGATTATATCTCCTGTTTAGCTGTGACCGAGCGGGCGCATTGGGCGTGAAAACGGTTGGGGTGGTTTCGGTAGGATGGAATGTCACTTATACAACTCTATTATTATGGAGATCTCCTAGGTGTATGCGTGACGACGCATTAGATGATTGATATGCATTGATATCTGTCATGAGATGCATTTATTGCATGATTATTAATATGATGAAGTGTGGTGTTTGACTTCATGATTGGTGGATTATATTTTATGCATGAGTAGTATTGGATAGAGTGTATGGTGTGATTCTATGAACATGATTGATAGTTGGATGATGTGTAGTATAGATTTTATTCTGTACTTGTATGATTGGTTTTGAACTCTAGCTTACCCTTCTGTTTCCATGTGGTGGGACTGCGATGATCATACTTGGTATGAGAGCAGGTCAGGACTAACTTGGAGTTGAGGTGACCGCTGCGAGACGGGGAGTTTGATCCTCGTGTTAGAGTTACCATTTTGGGTAACGATTTCGTCTGTGCTTGACCGACACTAGAGTCATATTATTTTTGGGATGACTGTATATATATGGTGTTCTATTTTATAACAAGAAACTTAGTTATTTTCATTCTTATTTATACCTGTATGTATGAGTTATCCAGCTTAATATTTCTCTTAGTTCACTAGCAGTAGTGTGATTCCACTAAGTGTAGAGACCATGGGGGTCGTTACATTAGGCTTATAATCTACAATCTTAGAATTTAAAAGATGATGTATCACATGTTGGAGGCACGAAAACAAATGCTTCGGATGAATTCATTGTGAGCATTTGAAATTTGAAGAATTACTGATAGAATTTATAGTAATTTCTTTAATTTTTTTTTGTAAAAAATATTCCTGCAGATTTTCTTGCGAAAAAATTCGCAGTAAACTTTCCTACGAATTTTCCTGTGAATTTTTTTTGCAAGAAACTTTCCTGCGAATTTTAAAATTTCCAAAAATATATTATCCACGAAAGTATTACCTGTAGATAAGATTTTGCAGAAAAATTTGTAAGAACAATGTTTCCTGCGAATTTTTTATAAAAATTCGCAGGAAAGTCGCATGTAATAAGAGAAATTCTAGTAGTGTCTTTCTCTCATTCTCATTCCCCTTCTCTTTCTCTCTCTCTCTCTCTCTCTCTTTCTCCCTCCCTCTCCCCCTGTCTCTCTCACTACCTTATCTTTCAAAGTCGCACACTCTTCAGTTGAGTGACCATAATTCCAATGACATGTGCAATACTTCGACGAATTTGCCCTCGATGGTGTGTGAGCCCTCTTTAGAATAGTCAATATCTCTAAAGCCAATGCTTGTTTAATAATCCTTGCTCCATTGGTATTAAAGGGTGTATAGGTAATGTATCGAGGACTTCTAGGCTGATAACTCCTAGAGTTATCCCCTCTTGCTTTTTTAGAACATTTCTCTTTCATTTTCTTTTTTAATAGGAATAACCTCAACTCTAGCTTGATTTATTGACTCTATCAACTCTTCCATTTGCATATATTTCTTAAATCATTCATATCTAATGGAGGTTTCTTTTATAGTCTGTTCACAAAAGGACGTTGTTTCAAAGTAGTGTTCAACCTATCCTTTACAACTATTGGGTATAGATTTTTGATCTCCATGGAAATTTTAGTAAAACAACCCATGAAACATCAAAGAGACTCCTTATTTTCTTTCCTTATGTTAGCCAAAGCTAGTGATGTTAACTAGTAAGGTTGACTAGTGACAAACTAACAAATTTGATAACTTTTCAAAAGAATTTTTTGTAATAAACTGATTAAGTGCCCTAGCCTTCAAAGATGTTAGGAATACAAAAAGTTGCATCTTCTTAAGTAAGTAGGGTAACTTGTGGCTATGCATATTCAAATGCTTATCTAGATATGGATCCATCATATTTCTCCAATGAAAGACTTCTCCAATTATATGACAACACAATTTCCATAATTCTTCAAGTAAATGAGTGTTTATATGTTCTTGTCAAAGTTCCATACCGAAAAGGACCCTTATCTAGAACAACCAAAAATTGTACAAGAGGCACTTGCCCCTGTGGTGTTATCAGCGCATAGTATAGAAAGGCTTCATTATTATTCTAACTGTAGGAACCCATGTTCTATTGAGACTCCTCAACTCAACATTCTCCTTCCATTGAAAGCTCTTAGGGCATTTGACTCACGAGCTTGTCAAATAGTAGTCATATCTTCCCTTAGTAGTCTTAGAGCATCAGAAAGATCAATATGATCTTTCATAGCAATAAGTCTTGACATCTACTGAGGGGGTGCAAGATTCATGTTCTTCTTTGTAGTCACCATCCTTCAAAAGTTCTCCTTCCTATAAAATAAACAAATAATAAGGGCCTTTAAAATGGGACCTCACAATGGTCGCCAAAATTTACCTACATAAGGGTATACAAGTAATTTTATTACTTCAAGTCCTCGTTTAATAAGTCTTTGCCTTCATAGTCTTCAACCTTCATATCCTTATAATCTTCGATTTTACTTATCTGATGGGTCGATACAAACACTATTTTACCTTTAATACTAAGATGAGTAGGCCTCGAACATACCTCTTTGATAAGGGAAGAGGAAGGTATCTCCATAAGACACTTTAGTGCTTAAGTCAGACATCCTTGGTCTTAGATAAGTCAACACAATTAATACTGTAAGAAATACAAAAAATACCTTCTCTATATGCTACTATTTATACTAACTTTATTAGATCTAAGCTTTGATAACATACTCATTATCTACTTAATTATTTTTAATAATATTTTTGAGTTATTTATAGATTTATCTAATTTTTAGTAACATCCAAGAAGTGTTCAGCTTTACCCTTCAATCAAACTCTTCCATATACATAATAGAGTACATTTGATTCGGATTGAATATTTAGAACTGAAATTCAATCCAATCCAACTTTAATTTTTGGTTTGGTCGCTACTATTTGTATTCTTATGTCTTTTCAATAACAATAATCTACTTTAGTTCAATTGATTGCATATAAATTATTATTAAAAATATTTAGTACTGAATTCGATTATTATATATAAATAAATAATTATATCTTTTCAACACTATTGAATGATTTCACATGTCAGTTGCTAATCAAGAATCTTATTGCTTAACCTTACTTGCAGGCCAATTGATTCTTCTTTTACAACTATATCTTATTTATTTATTGTTAATCGCCCATCAATACTAATTTTTTTGACATTTTTTTCCTGTATTCCATTTTTTCTTTATAATACTACACTTATTCTTTTATTGAAGAGAATTCTATTCATGTCAAATAAAATTATTTATAGACGTCAAAATTTTTCCTTAAATATTCAATACACTTGTGTGTCCAAAATCAAAATCACCACTTAAATTGAAATAATCTCGTATGGAAGTTGATCTATGTGTACAATATTTTTCTTGTACACCATTTAAACTTATCATTTTAATTAATTCCTCCGTCGCTTTCCTAGGGGTCTATCCCTTGCATCATATTATCCAATAAATAAATACACTACTTGTGTAAAAATATTCAAACCCTTCTCCATTTCCATTCAAGCAAACAACGAAAAGATGTTTCTGGCTATCCCTGCAACACTCCTTGTGATATTCATTTTGATTGTATCCTATGTGTTGGTGCATCGAAAGCAGCTTGAAGATGATACGAAACATCCACCAGGTCCTAAGGCCCTACCAGTCATTGGTAGCCTTCACTTGCTAGGGAAACTCCCACATCGAGCCCTTCAAGACCTAGCCAAAAAATATGGACCCATAATGTCCATCAAGTTAGGGCAAGTCCCAACCATTGTGGTTTCCTCACCCGAAGCCGCTGAGTTATTCCTTAAGACTCACGACACTGTCTTTGCTAGCAGGCCCAAAACTCAAGCATCGGAATACATGTCTTATGGCACTAAGGGCATAGCTTTCACTGAGTATGGTCCTTATTGGCGCAACGTGAGAAAGTTGTGCACCACTCAACTTCTAACTGCATCAAAAGTTGAGATGTTTGCTCCACAGAGGAGGGAAGAGTTAGGGCTGTTGGTGAAGTCACTTGAAAAAGCAGCAGCCAAAGGTGATTTGGTGAATGTCAGCGAGAAGGTTGAGGAGCTTATAGCAAATGTTGCCAGTAAAATGATACTTGGTCACAGTAAGGACCATAGATTCGACGTGCCGGGGCTTGTTAATGGGTATCTGCATTTGCTTGGATTGTTCAATGTTGCAGATTATGTACCTTGGGTCGGCATCTTTGATCTCCAGGTATCAACTTCTACTACAGTCACGTTTAAGTAGATAGATTCATGATTTAGTGTAAAAACTTATTACATTAATTCCATCATGATGTTAATCTATCCCCTAAGACTAGAGAAAAATAAATAATAGATCGATTATATTTAGACATCTTTTAATTTTAAACACTCCATTAATATTGTCTTTTTCCCTGTTCTTATCACGTGATATCATTTATCATAATTATATTTTCTTTACTTGTTTCTTGTACTTCATGCATTATTAGAAAAATTTTATTTTCTGCGAATTTTCTTACAAAATAATATTTATAGAATTTTTTATGAATTTTTTAATAATAATAAATCCAGAGGAATTTATTTGAGAAAAACAATTTATCAAAATCTCTTACAAAGTTTTTTATGAAATATAATCTACAATGTTTTTGTTTTTGCAAATTTTATTATGATTTTAGTAATTATAGAATTTTTTTTCATTATAAAAATTTGCAAAAAATGTTGTAAATTATTTTTATTAAATTCGCAAGTAATATTTGTTAGTATTATAATAAATGGAAGAAAAATTTCATAAGTAACTTTTCTTTACAGATTTTCTCACTAATTTTAATCCTAAGGAAAATTAAAAAAAATTGTTTAAATTTATACATTTAAAAATTAAAAGTTTTTAATTAAATATTAATATTTTATTAAATTATTTATAAATATATGATTATAATTAATTTTAATTTTAAATTTTATTAAATTAAATATGTAAATTATATAAATAGGATAAATTTAATGATAATGAATTTTAATTTAATGATAATTTATAAAATTTAAAAATGAAAAGTATTTACTTAGCAAAATATTATTTTACTAACTTATTTATAAATATTTCAACAAAGTTAGTTTTAATTTAAAATATTAGTAAATTAAACATTTATTTTAATTAAATGTATACATTAATGATAATGAATTTTAATTTAATGATAGTTTTTAAAGTAATTTTTTTAATAAAAATATTTTTTTTTAAAATATTGAATATTTGAAGAGTTAATATAATTTAGTATAATATAATACGAGAAATTTTAATAGTGGTGTATTAGCATATAAAGTGTTCACTTTTGAATATGATGGCATAAAATAGTCAGATAAAATGATAAAGGAAAATGATTTGAATAATGGGCATTGGATTCCATATAATACACCAATATTGTTAAAGAAAACCAGTGTCCCACGCAGTATGCTGGGGGGCTTTTTTATCTCAATCTTTAAAATATAGAAAGACTATCTTTTTTTTTAAATTTTTTTATTTATGTACAGATCGATACATGTGTTCTTCATTCGAAGTAATCGGACAAAATTACTATGTTTAAATATCACAATGCATGATATAATAAAAAAAACCATCTTTGTTTTAAATATGGATAATATTTTTTTATTTGAGTCTATAAAGCTTTAGATCCATGTTCCGTATATGCTCCTAGCTCCGAGTTTTCAATCTGTTTAATCATCTTTAGCTTTTCCTTTGTGACAAAAGCCAACTGCCCCCTTACCTCCAATGTCCCCATTGTTCCTTCACAAATTTGCTTATGCTGGAATCTCCCTCCAACTATTAAACACCCTGAATAGTTTTGATTATACTATCACTGTTTGAATTTGATTATGCTCTTTTTTTTAGTGCATTTGACCTGGATTATGCATGAGTCAAATTTCGTATCCTTTAGGAAAGTAATAATATTGATGTGCTGCAGAGTTTTTTACAATTATTATCATAAAATGGTATATATGCTACTTAATTAATTATTTCCAAAAACCTATATCAGGGACTAAAAGAAAAATTCAAGAAAACAAGTAAGGCATTTGATCAAGTGTTCGATGAAATCATCGAGGAGCATGAAGACCCTTCTTATAAAGACAAGAGAAATGTGCACTCTAAGTACTTTGTGGACATATTGTTGTCACTTATGCACCAACCCATGGATCATCATGAACAAAAGCATTTCATTGATAGAACTAACATCAAGGCTATTTTAATGGATATGTTTGCTGCATCATTTGACACTTCTGCTGTTGCGATTGAGTGGGCTATGTCAGAACTCCTAAGGCACCCAAGGGTGATGAAGAAACTTCAAGATGAGTTAACAAATGTAGTGGGAATAAATAGGGTGGTGGAGGAGTCTGACTTAACAAAGTTGTCATATTTGAACATGGTAGTGAAAGAGACCTTACGGTTGTATCCGGTTGGACCCTTGCTAATTCCTCGTGAGTCCTTAGAAGATATCACAATTAACGGATATTTCATAAAGAAAAAGTCAAGAATTTTAATCAATGCATGGACAATTGGACGAGATCCTAAGGTTTGGTCAGATAATGCTGAGATATTTTATCCAGAGAGATTTGTGAACAACGATATAGATATTAGAGGACATGACTTTCAACTTATACCATTTGGTTCTGGCCGCAGAGGATGTCCTGGGATACAATTGGGTCTAATTACTTTTAGTCTTGTTCTGGCTCAATTAGTGCATTGCTTCAATTGGGAGCTTCCATCTGGTATCTCTCCTAATGACTTAGATATGACTGAAAAATTTGGTCTTTCCTTACCAAGAAGTAATCACTTGTTAGCAGTACCATCTTATCGCCTATTGAATACAGCTTAACTGAAGCTTCAAAATCTTGGGAAATTATTTCACCAATCGAATAAAGTTTGTATTTTATCTCCATTGTATTTTTCTTGATATGGATTGGTGATGTATGCACTCGACTTCCTTCTTGCTTGAATTAGATCAGACCTAGGAGATTAGGATGATCTTGATGTTTATGTTTATGTGGGAATCATTGTAATATATTGATATTATCTTATTACCAATGATGGTCTTTAATGCGTCATATACACTTATGTATTTTGCTTGCATTTTATTTTCGTATAGAAAAGTCCTTCTTGTGTGTTTCATCTCAACACATTTGATCTTTTAAAAAATAGAATAGTCATCCGAATATGATGAAATTAAGATGATTTTTCGTGAAATTTGCCTTCTCTATATTTGTTCAACCTATAAAAATGGGACAGACATCTCGTAATTAAATATGATTCGAAGTGCAATACTTACATATCAAACAAAACACGACAAATATACAGCAAACATCATGAACGTAACTCATTATATTTAATCCCAAGCGAATAGTCAAGACTCGAGATCAAATAGATACCCATGATCATAAGCTACAAGTCATGCCCAAGGTTTTTTATTTTATTTTTTATTTTTTATTTTACTATTATTTAGGTCTAATATAAATTTTCAACTTATATAAATTAAAAACAATAAATTTATTATATTTCTATAATTATTAATTATTAATTATTAATCCTTTTTAGATTACTATTTGTGTGTATATATATATATATCAATATTATATACATATTAAATTATTATTATTATTTTAAATTATAAAGTAAAATTATTTGTAACTAATTGTTTTCAAATTTCTAAATTGTTACATTTACAAAATAAGAATGTCATACGGAATTAATCAGAAAATTCCGTTAAATATTTTTTGTTATCTTAAATATTTATTTTTTGTTTTTAATTTACGTTGTTATAAAACCCTCAATTAGCACATAAGAATATTTTGACAACTCCACAAAATATAATGTAAAAAATATTTAAATTTATCAAATATAAAAAGAATAAGCTTTAATATATTATTGATAAACATAAAATTTTAAATAATAAATATTAAAAAAAATCTCTATTGTAGTTAGAAAGGAGAATAGGTTAAACCTATAATAAAAATGTCAAGTTTAAATTATTTAAAAAATTATTTATTTAGAAAAATTAACTTTAGGCTTACAAAAAAAAAATTAACTTTGATAAGTTAACCTATCTATCTATATGATATAATAAAAAAATGCTATACATATTGCATTTTAAACAATATACTTAAATAAAAATATAATAAAAAAATTAAATTAATTATTAATATTTTGGACATTTCTAATAATGTAATAAAAAAAATTAAATTATTAATATTTTGAACATGTTTACTAAACTTATATACTTTGCATTCCCTATTCGTACGAAATCAAAAAAATAAAAAATAAAAAATCTAACAATCGCATTTTTGTCAACTTTTTTCCTTCATCTTTATGTTGATTATTTAGAATATTTTAAATGAAATATAGAAAATATTTATAAAAAAAAAACTTTTTTAATAAGATTATTTTATTTCATCATGGTCAACATGAGAGTATGTTATTATATATGAGTATGTATGAGTTATCCCTCTTACATTAATTTTTTTTTATTTCAAACTCTAAATTTTAATAATAGAATAAACTAATTTTTTATCACCCAAATTGAAAGAAGACTCATATACCTATTCAAAAATAGATTGTTGACTTATTTAAAATTAAGTTTATTAGTCAACTAGTGGCGTTGAAACATTTCACGTCTCTATTTGTTTAAAAGTATTTAAAAGTAATCCATGTTTGTTAAATCAACTGATGATGCGTCTAGTTTTGAATATTTTCTGAAATAATATTTTTTTTTAAAAAAATCTATTACACATTATTTACCCAAATAGACCTCTTTATTGTTCACACTCAGAGAACTGAATTCTGAGCAGTGTTAATTTTTTTTTTTTTGCGTTTTAGTTTCTGAGAAAGAGGAAAACTTGATTCAGAACGGGCCGTTTTACAATTAGAACGGCCCGCTCCAGATAAAAATATACACATGACAAATGGATCAGAATAGGCCGTTCTCCAAGGAATGCAAGCAAAAAGGAGAACGACCCGTTCCAATTGCAAAATTGACACATTCCTGAACCTAAAACGAAAAAAAAATTTAAACACTATTCAGAATTCGGTTATCCGGGAACCGAATTTCGAGCACACAAAAAAATAACACTGCTCAGAATTCGGTTCCCCAGAAACCGAATTTTGAGTGTGAACAGTAAAAATGTCTATTTAGGTAAATAATGTGTAATAGATGTTTTTTTGGTAATTTTTTTTAAATATTATTTAAGAAAAAAATTCTGTTTCTCAAACTTCAAAGTTTCAAATTCGAGTTTTAGATTTATAAGAATAGTTAATTTTTAATATTATTTTTTATTATTTAAAAATTTATGAGTAAAATAGTCCAAAAATTATGTATACGAAAACAGAAAATTGCTTTTATATATAGATATAGATTTAACATTATTAATGTAAAATAGACTTTTAAATAAGCTAATTAGTTAGATCAGATTTTTTTAAAAAGTCAAATTAGACTTATAAAAAAATTATGAGAAATAACAGGTCAGACTTATATTTTAATTTTATAAAATAATTCAGTTTATATATTCAAAATCTGACCTATTATTATCTTTAATTGTGGTCTCATAATAAAAATACAATTGATTTTTTTTTATCTCATGTCATGTTAAGATGTCAAAATGAGTCAATCCATAGTGAGCCAACCCATATGAACCAAGTTGACTCATTTAGACACCTCTAATATTAATTCAAGTGAATAATGATCTAATACAATTAAAAAAGAGTGTCGTATAGTTATACATATAGCTTAAAAGGTTTTTAAAAGGATTTAAATGATGTTTATAAAAAACCATAAAGCCAATTAAATTTTCTGCAACGTTAAACAAAAAATAAATCCTAACCATCAACCCAAAGAAACATAGAAATCAATATTAATAAAATCATTTTGCATGATATTATAAAATCCAGTAAAATCTAAACCCACATATCTTACAAGAAATGATATTTTATGCTAAAGAAGATTTAAACCGGTGCCCCACCAACATGTGAAATTGAATGTCTCATCAATGTGAACTCCCCTTCATTTTGTATCATCTTTATTTCGCATCTCCGATGGAAATAACTCATTTGAGTTGTTCCATGAATTAAAAAATAAAAAAAGTGATCTCTAATGTGTCATATCAACATTAAATAACTCAAACAGAAATTTACTCTAATATAAAAAACTTTAAGAAATTCAACTTTTAGAATTTTTTTTCTAATCATTTATGAACTAAATTTAAATTTTTATTAAAAAGGATAATTGCACTACAATGAAAAAAAATTACGAGAAAAAATACACAATAAGTAGATATTAAAAATAAAATAAAACAATAATAAATACATAAACATTATACGAAATTAATTTTTATCATTATTATTTTTAAAACGTTTCCAAATATATTCAATAAGATTTGCTTGAAATCTGGTAAGAAACGATTGCTTGAAAAAATAACTCTTTTTTTTCTTCAAACAACTCATGTTGCCATGTCAAAGTTTTCTAATAACAAAAAATCGAAGCTTAAATTACTTTATAGGATAAGCAACTCCCGTTAAAATTATTCTTAATCATTAAACAATTGGTTCTCTGAAAAGTTATCTGACACTAACATTATGGCACACATGCATGTGAACAATGATCCCACTTGCAGCAGCATCCAAGAAGAAAATTAAATAATCCTCCACTTGCACAAATGCAGTATAGTACCCAAAATCATAAAGTCAGCATACATGTAATTCCAAGATTTCTGTCACAGTTAGTGCATAGTCTTTTTTTGATTTTTTTTAATGAAATTAAACATATTAATTATATTTTCTAAATTGTGTCAAAATCTTACGCACCAACTAAAATGTAACACGGAGTTGTTTTTAATGAACCAAAAGGATGGTCGATGACCATTGAAACAAAAAAGAAAAGGATGCTGAGCATGGAATGTAGTAGCATAGTACGTAGTTACTGGGTGCCTATATGTAGAAACTATATATATACTCCAAACAAGCAAGAGGGTATTTAAAACCACAACTAGCATTCATAGCTGAGAATATAGTTTGACCAATTCTACTAGGGGCGATCAAAATAATGAGTTATAATTTTTGTTTTTACTATAGATATAATTAATTAATTTTATAATACTTGGTTATTTTAAAAATAGTTGTAAAAATTAACCATATATACTAAATGATTATTAATAATAACTATTTTTTATAACAAATTTTAATTTATCATAACCGATTTTAAATTTTAAGAACCGGTTATAACCAACCAATTTTAAGAATTTAAAAAAAAATTAAAATTAATGAACATCGTAACTTTTTATTTCATGTAGTTAAAATTTATAATAAATACTTTTAATATATAAATATATCAGTTAAAAATAATATTAAATAAATAATTTTATATTATTATAAGAAAGTATTTTAATTATTGATAATAAAATTAAAATATTAATATTTAATTTTAAAATTAAAAAAATAATAATAATAAATTAAAAACATTAGAGTTTCAAAGAGAATTCTCAAAAAAAGTTCTTATTGAAGAAAAATAACTAAAAACTTTCTTATTGAAGAATAGTTTGTAAAAGTACTTTCATTCAAAATAACTATTTTAATCTTTACTAGTTAATAAAGGTGATATATCTTTCTGGTATACACATTCTATTGATTGTTTTTTTTTTCACTTCTTTGTAACTTTATTTTTCAAACATCTCACACCTTTTAAATAATTACTCAAAATCACTCACATTACTTAATTGTTAATCACTCACACATATTTAACATTAATTATTTACTTTATTTTTATATTTTATATAAAATTCACAAAGACATAAAGTACCATTTTATGCTAATTTATATAATGAGGATTGTTAAAAGTATAAAAATTATTGTAAAAGTGTATTAAATATAAATTTATTCTTTATTTTTTCTTTCAAAACCAGTTATACAACTAGTTTTAAAAAATATAACTGGTTATTAAAAATTTAAAACCGGTTATTGAAAATTGATTATAATTAAATTATAATAACTATTTATAAATATGATTATAAAATAGTTTTGAGTAGATTATTTAAATTAAATAACCTAACAACACCCCTAAATTCTACCAAGGGTTTTGGGTCAACCAAGAAGAGTTACCATAGGATTTGGTTATAAGAGTCACAATTAATATGTAATATTGTACTAATGTCCTAATACCATGCATTCATCCCACATTTTTTAATAAAATTCTGATTCAAAGGACAAATGGTTTACATTTTGTGTTACAACAACCTGTACATAAACTTGAATTTCCTTGCAACAACCTTTACAAAAAATTATATGTAAATTTTTTTTACCAACTTTATAGTGTTAAAATATATTGAAGCTTTATATACCTACATTACACATTCCCAGATCCTAGCAAACTCTCTTGACTTTTGTAGCAGGAAATTGAGCCCATGCTAAGACGTCGCCTATGAATTTAGGATAGTAAACTTTATCTTAATCCTGCGTGCAGGGAAAATAATTCCTTTTATGACTATACCTTATTTATTGTTAATCGCCAATCAAGACTATTTCCAGTTCAACAGAAGTAACATTTAAATGTCCAAATGTTGTAGCAAAGCAAAATCAGTTAAATCGTCTGCAAGTATTTAAGCATGTTTGGACAGAAGTTATGAATCCTATTTTGGTAGAAGTAATTTTTTTTTAAAGAACTCGGTACTAATAACGAGTTGACAACCACAGTAGAGAACATTCGACCCAATATACTTCAAATTCTACTTGGACGAAGCAAAATTTATTATGCATAAATGAAAGTATATTGTTCGTTGACATCTCAAAATGTATCCAAGCCAACAAGTCAAATGTATTGAACTCATTTAACAATATCTTTCTAGTAAGTCATTCAATCACGTTAGTTACGAATTCAAGATCATACAAACATAAATAAATAATATTTTTGGTCGCCTTTTTCTTTTACCCATTCAAACATTCTTTTTTTTTTTATTTTTTGAATTTCACGTTCTCTTGCTAGCAGCTCATCTCTTAATTAATCATTATACCCAACTCGTGTATAAATATCCAAACCCTTCTCTATTTTCCATCAAGCAAAAACCACCCAAAAAAAATGTTAGTTGAAACATTAGCTATCCCTGCAGCACTTCTAGTGATATTCATTTTGATTCTATCTTCTGCCTTGTTGCATCCAAACCAAGTTGAAGATGATAGGAGACATCCACCAGGTCCTAAGGCCCTCCCAATTATTGGTAACCTTCACATGTTAGGAAAACTCCCACATCGCAGCCTTCAGACACTTGCCAAAAAATATGGACCCATAATGTCCATCAAGTTAGGACAAGTCTCAACCATTGTGGTTTCCTCCCCAGAAGCTGCTGAGCTATTTCTCAAGACTCACGACACTGTTTTTGCTAGTAGGCCCAAAACTCAAGCATCGGAATACATGTCTTATGGCAGTAAGGGCATGGTGTTTTCTGAGTATGGTCCTTATTGGCGCAATGTCAAAAAGTTGTGCACCACACAACTTCTAAGTGCATCAAAAGTGGAGATGTTTGCTCCATTGAGGAGGGAGGAGTTAGGACTATTTGTAAAGTCACTTGAAAAAGCAGCAGCCTCACGTGATGTTGTGAATGTCAGCGAGCAAGTTGGGGAACTGATATCAAATATTGTCTACAAAATGATACTTGGCAGCAATAACGACGATAGATTCGACCTAAAGGGGCTTACTCAGGAGGTTTTGCACTTGTGTGGTGTGTTCAATATGGCAGATTATATACCTTGGGCTGACTTCTTTGATCTTCAGGTACGAACTTCAAATATATGATTTGGTGTAAACCCTTATATATGCCATCTTCCTCTTTGTTGTTAATTAATTGTTACTTCTGATTGCATTTATTTTTGCTTGAAACCTTTAACTAATTAAATTTGATTATGTTTTTCATTTGACTTGCATCATCTGTTCATCAACTTTTGTTGATAAACTAACTAGGATCATCTTTTGTGTCCATAAGAACGAGAACATCACCGCCAAAGTTAATATAACTATAATTGGATGCTAGTTATGCACCTTTAGGAAGATGAATAATAGTAAGTTGCTGCAACGTGCCACTTAATTATTCCAAATCTATAACAGGGCCTAAAAGGAAAATTCATGAAAACAATAAAGGCATTTGATCAAGTGTTCGAGCAAATCATCAAAGACCATGAGTATCCTTTTGGCAGCAACAAAAAAAGTGTATACTCCGAGGACTTTGTAGACATACTACTATCATTTATGCACCAACCCATGAATAAACATGAACAGAAGCATGTTATCGATAGAACAAATATCAAGGCTATTATTTTAGATATGATAGCAGGAGCATTTGACACATCTGCTGTTGTAATTGAGTGGGCTATGTCAGAACTTGTAAGGCACCCAAGGGTTATGAAGAGACTTCAAGAAGAGTTAAATAACGTAGTGGGGACAAATAAGCAAGTGGAAGAGTCTGACTTGACAAAGTTGCCTTATTTGAATATGGTGGTGAAAGAGACCTTAAGATTGTATCCTGTTGGACCCTTATTGGTGCCTCGTGAGTCCCTACAAGATATTACAATTAATGGATATTACATAAAGAAGAAGTCAAGAATTTTAATCAATGCATGGGCAATAGGACGAGACTCAAAAGTATGGTCAGATAATGCTGAGATATTTTATCCAGAGAGATTTGTGAATAAGAATATAGACATTAGAGGACATGACTTTCAACTTATACCATTTGGTTCTGGTCGCAGAGGATGTCCTGGGATACAATTAGGTCTGACAACTGTTGGTCTTGTTCTGGCTCAATTAGTGCATTGCTTTAATTGGGAGCTTCCATTCGGCATGTCTCCTAATGACTTGGACATGACTGAGAAATTTGGTCTTTCCCTTCCAAGAAACACACACTTGCTAGCTATACCAACTTATCGCTTATTTAACAAAGATTAGCGAAAGTTATGAAACTACAATAAGAGTGAAATGTTGTTTTAGTGAAGTTTTAATTATCTCCCTTTTTCAAATTAATATGGTTCAATGATGTGTACATTCAACTTCTATGTTGTACAAATTAGATTAGACGTAAGACATTAGGAGATGATCTTGATGGTTTTTTAAGTCATTGTTTGTTTTTTATTCATAGATCAGTTTGATGTTTACGTGAGTAATATTAGCACAAAAAATATATTTTTTAATTCATAGAAAACATTACAAAAACATTGATAAATCAATGGTTGATGATCAACCCTTATCTTTACATATTGTCATCAAGAATCACCTTGTATCCATCGTAATGTTGGTTCCACATTGCACCAAATGATTCGTTGTACATATTTAGGACATTTTTTTTCTACATTTAATTTGTAATTGTGATGGACTTGTGTACAAATTGAGAGGAAACTGTTACTTGTGTTATTACTTCTTATCTGATTAAAGAGGTTACTTATCGTCTTTAAGATATAAAATGAGAGGAAATTGTTACTTGTGTTAGTGAAAAATGACTTTATTTGTGACTTTGCACACTTAGAGATATATGTTTGTCCTTTCTCTAACAAAAAATAAATCTTTGTTCCTTTTCGAAGTACAAGTACCTAAGAATCTTTTATTCCTTCAATATATTAAGGAATAACATAAAAATAGATGATTGATAATTAGACATAATAAATGATATAATTAATGCATTCATCTTAGGTAAACAAAGTGATCTGTCTAAAAAACTACACGTCATTATAATACATCATTTTTCTTATATGATCTAAAAAATATTTCTTCATAAAAAAATGTTCAAGTTTGTTAACATTAAAGCATGTATTCCTAAAGGATCTAAGGTCGTCATTTGATCTAACCTCCCTTTTTTATGGTGATAATATATTTTTGAAAAACATAATTTTTTATGCACATTAGATCTAGTCGGTTATAACTTAAAGACGAATATGCAATTATATAGAATATGTCAATTAGATTGTACGATGGATGTATCATATGCTATAGCATGTCAACCATTACCATATCAAGTATTTTTCTATTAAAGCAAATATCAGGCTGATTGACTAATTTAGAGCACTTTTAAAAACTATTTACCTAAATGAGATTGTTTTGAAAGTATTTACACCTGTAGTAACCCAATTTCGTCCGAGAAATGTCAATTTTGTTTTTAAAAAAATAGCAAAAAAGGTATATACAAAAAAAGAATAAAAAAGACAAAAATATGGAAGCCAAATGCAACACCTCATTTCTTATATTTTTATGGGAGGTAATTTAGTAATTTTCATATGATTTTAGAAGCCCAGAACGGGCCGTTCCAAAACTGGAACGAGCCGTTCTAACCTTCTGAAAAGACATAAAACTGGAACGGGTCGTTCCTCTATCATTGTTAACACGATTGCTCCAAAAAAAAATACAAATGCTCATAAGACTTGTACATCCATTATATCATGAAGAGAAACAAACATCTAGTGCAAAATCTTCTATTCATCAATATTCATTGATTACTATGCTAAATAATTATGAGAATCATTCAAAAGGATAGATTGGGAACAAATCACAAGTCATGCCTTCCTTTAATTCCCTCTTATCCAATTAAATGAGACATTTGTTTTATGTCTCATTCCTCCATCAATTCATACATCAATATTATTTCCTTGAGTCAGAAAACAAAGCAATCACATTCATCATTGTCTCCTATTCTACCCCTGCCTTTCAAGACTAAATTGGGACAACCACTTCACACTGGGGCAAAGGATCTCATTGCCATTTCATCACCTTAACTTTCAATTGGAATAATTGTCTAATCCAACTTTGTTCCCTATTTCTTCATAAACTGGGGCAACTCAAAGTACTCCTTTATACCGGGACAAGTTCTCAACTACCATCACATTTTCATTCCAACTATATAATCCATGTGTCTCAAGTTTAATTAAGTCAATGCCTGTATCACCCATATTTCGTCATTCTAAATACAGGTTATCCTTCCCATATATGTCACTATTTGATTCTATTCACTCGAGTCTAAGGTGATGTAAATCATTTGCCTCACTTGTTCAAAGTCCATGTTTTTAATATTTTGAGTCCCTGCGCTCACTCTTTTATGTTTCGGGTCCCCGCGCCCATGTTTTCAATCTTTCGAGCCCCCGCGCTCACTCTTTTAATTTTCAAGCCTCTATGCTCACTCTATCAATCTTTCGAGCTCTCGTGCTCACTCTTTTAATTTTCAAGCCTCTATGCTCACTCTATCAATCTTTTGAGCCCATGTGCTCACTCTTTTAATTTTCAAGCTTTTATGCTCACTCTATCAATTTTTGAGCCCCCGTGCTCACTCTTTTAATTTTGAAGCCTCTATGCTCACTCTATCAATCTTTTGAGTTTCCGTGCTCACTCTTTTAATTTTCAAGCCTCTATGCTCACTCTATCAATCTTTTGAACCCTCGTGCTCACTCTGTTAATTTTCAAGCCTCTATGCTTACTCTATCAATCTTTTGAGTCCTCGTGCTCACTCTTTTAATGTTTCAAGCCTCTATGCTCACTCTATCAATCTTTTGAGCCCACGTGCTCATTCTTTTAATTTTCAAGCCTCTATGCTCACTCTACCAATCTTTCGAGCCTCGTGCTCACTTTTTTAATGTTTTGAGCCCCGTGCTCACTCTCTTTTAAGGTTTTGAGCCCCCGCGCTCACTCTTTTAATGTTTCGAGCCCCCGTGCTCACTCTCTTAATGTTTCAAGCCCCCGTGCTCATTCTCTTAATGTTTCAAGCACCCGCACTCATTCACTTTTTCACATTTTGAGTCCCTGCAGTCATGACCCTCAATATTTTGGATCCTCGAGTTCACTATTTTCATGTTTTGAGTCCTCGCACTCATAACTCTTAACTCTTTGGATCCCCGAGTTCACTACTTTCACATTTCGAGCCCTGTGCTCAACTCTCAACAGTTTGGAACCCTGTGTCTACTATTCTTATTGCTTTTAGATCTTATATTCTCTAATTTGTGCTAAAATCTCGTGATTATCTTTTCTCTAAGTGGTGAATACATGTAACTTTTGTCTTAGACGAAATTGGTGTTTTCTTTACTTATATTTTACAACGATAATATAGAAACAAGAGTTGTTTACATTATCTAGTAAAATTAAGTAAAGAAGGGCAACTGTAGTAACCCAATTTCGTCCGGAAAATGTCAATTTTGTTTTTAAAAAAATAGCAAAAAAGGTATATAAAAAAAAGAATAAAAAAGACAAAAATATGGAAGCCAAATGCAACACCTCATTTGTTATATTTTTATAGGGGGTAATTTAGTAATTTTCATATGATTTTAGAAGCCCAGAACGGGCCGTTCCAAAACTGGAATGGGTCGTTCCAACCATCTGAAAAGACATAAAATTTCTAGCCCGGAACGAGTCGTTCCAAAACTGGAACGGACCGTTCCAACCTTCCAAAGAGCCCTAAAAGTTCTAGCCCAGAACGGGTCGTTCCAAAACTGGAACGGGCCATTCCAGCCTTCCAAAATGCCCTAATATTTCTATCCCAGAACGGGTCGTTCCCACAACTGGAACGGGCCATTCCAATTTTCAAAAAGGACTTATAGTTTTTAGGCCAGAACGGTCGTTCCTGAACTACCAAAATACCTGAAAAATTTAGTCCAGAACAGGTCGTTCCGAAACTGGAACAGTCCGTTCCGAAAATGGCCGTTGTGAGTAAAATTGCATCCCCGAAACGGGCCGTTCCGGATTCAGAACGGGTCGTTCCAGATTCAGAACGGGCCATTCCGGTCCCTCCTGAAAGTCTATAAATAGCGGCCCTTGCCCTTCCCAAAAGGCACCCACACACATAGATCTCCACCTTGGACTAGAGGGAACCCAGAGGAAGAGACCAGCAAGTTTCCACTTCTTGAGCGAAGAATAGTGAGTATATCGAACACACTTTCTTTTTATTTATTTATTTTATTTTATTTATTTTTATTTTAGTTTTTTATTAGTAATATCTGTCATTCTAAAAAAGATTATTTGTCATCTTAAAGTCTTATTTAAATTTAAAATGTGATTAAATATCAAAATATAATTTTACAATATTTAATATAAATATCCGAAATTATTGTATCAAAAATTTTACTGGAGGAATGGTTAACTAGATGTGACATCTTTTTAACCTTTGAATTTAAAGTACAAGTTGTGACAGCTTATCTTTAAATTTTTTCTCCAAAAACAAAAATGTCCAACCAAGAAAGTTTTTAAGATCATAACATCTATAACAATAATTATAATTATATTGAATTGACTTCGGTGTACACCTTGGTCAATTTTATATTTTTAGGTGAATGAGCTGAGACAGTTCAAGAATCTTATATTTAACAAAAATTAAATTTAATTCAAAAAATATCAACACATAAATATTTTTTACCAAAGAACTACGTAACTCTGATTCTTCATTACACATGAAGATACGTAGGAGCAAGAACTAAATCTTGTCGAGCCAAAAAATAAAAAATAAAATATTTTCCTTTTTATATAACAATAATAATTTTAACTTTTTTTAATACATTAGTTAGATTAGTTAAATAAAATATATTTAATCATTTTAGTGAGATAAATATTTTATAAATTATAATTAATTTTTTTAATTAATTAAAGGTAATCGTCTTAGGACGAACATTGTGAGGTGTTAATACCTTCCTCACACGTAATCGACTCTCGAACTCAAAAATTTGATTTTCGTAGACTATTTTTCTACTTTATGGTTTTTCCAATATTTTTCCGTAAAAAAACAACATTGGTGGCAACTCCTCTTTTTCAATTTATTTTTTGTCGTCCCGTCGCGACCGAGGTTGCTACAACACCATTGGGGCATTTTTCAATGGTGTCGCTATGGGTCATAGCGACACCATTGCCACGTGAATTTTTTTTTGGTAATTAAGGACGGCTAAAATTTAGCCAGTAAAAATCGCTATAGGCTACGACTTCTCTAAAGTCGCTATGGGCACCATCCCCACTTGAAAAATATAATATTTTATGATTAAAAAAATATATTATGTAAAGGCGCTATGGCCCATAACGACGATGTGTCGCTATGGGCCATAGTGCCTTTGCATAATATATTATTTTAATCATAAAATATATATTAATTATATTTTTAATAAGTAAAGGATAAAAAATAATAACAAAAATTAATAAAAAAAAAGAAGCATAAAATAAAATAATTGAAAAAGAATTAATAAATTAAATATGAAAAATGAAATATAAAAATTGTTAATTAAAATAAAAAGAAAATATTTTTAAAAAAAATAAAAAGGGATGTCGCTATGCGCCATAGCGACATGTATTTTAATTTAATTTATATTTTGCATAATTATTGTATAAATTATTTTTAATATTTCTTTTATTGTTTTATTTTTCTGCGTCTCATATTTAATATATTTTCATGTTTTTCAGAGTTATTTGAATTAATTTAAAAAAAAAACACACACACACATAAATAAGTATAAAATTTTATTATAAAATTAAAGAAAAAATGATGTCATTATGACCCATAGCGACACTGTGTCGCTATGGCCCATAACGACTATTGCAGTATATATACCCCTCCTAACAGTTACGTTTTGTTCACATTTGAAATCACACTGATAAGTATAATAGGTGGAGCTCTGATTGAAATTTGTGAGTAAAATTTTGTTGGAGTTAAAATATAAATTATAACTATTTGTACTAATTTTTTTTTGCAGATATTATGAATCAAATTATTGCTTATATTTACACTGGAAAGATGTATGAAGGTTCTCAAGGTGTAACATTTGATGGACCAAGAGAAGGAATGTATATTAAACAAGGTATAACTCTGGATATATTAAAGAGAATGATTCACAACAAATTTGGTCTTAAGTCAAATCAAGTGATATTATCTGTAAGTTACAGATTTTTAGTTTCACAAGATGATGACAGCATATATTCTTCATTGAAATTGAGTGACGATGATGGTGTATAATGCATGACAGAAGCATTTCAAAGCCAGAATGTGATACTAATAATGGAATTATATGCTGAAATAGGTATGAAAGAATCTTCAACATTTTCATTAGAAAATTTGTCAATTGAACGACCATCATTGATCACAAGAGACAAAGATGAAGAAGCAGATGAAGACTATCATGTTTCAATATCATATGAAAGCATTGATAAATCCAATGAAGATAAAATTGATGATTGTGAAGCATCTGATAATGAAGTGGAGTCGGATGTTATTGTTAATAGTCCAATGGTTGAACTAATTTTAATTTATCCATCTACTGAAGGTAATATCTGAAAATTAAATTTGTCAATAATGTGTTATTTGTTTAAAAAAAGTTGTTGAAATTGATTTTATTGAAATTATTATATTTATTATTATTAAAATAGGTGGAAGTCAATTTTGGGGTAATTTACCTCACTACACTAACATCAATTAGAATCATCCAGATGAAGAAGATATCCAGGGATGGATCTGCGTAATAGTTGGTCAATTGGCCAAGATTTATATGTGGGGTTGGAGTTTGAGAATAAAGATGCGGTTAAAAATGCAGTAAAGCAAAATGCAATGAGAATGCATCAAAAATTTTATGTGGTTGAGTCGAAAAGACCAAGTGGGTTGTTAGATGTCCAAATGCACATGATGGATGTGGATGGTACATGAGAACCCTTGAGTCAAAGAAATATGATAAGTGGAAAGTCACATCTCAAACTGTGTTTAAAATATCTTATAAAAAGGCTTGGATGTCATACATGTTTGAACATGTCTTTGTCACAAGATCATGATAAGTTAGATTCTGAGTTAAACGCATCATTTATACAAGGTAAGTTCTGCAAAGTTTATAGTTTATATTAATAATAACTTATCTTACTCATTACTAATATTTAATATGTAGGAATGGTTAACCAAGATCCAGCAATTAAGATTAGCCTTATCCAAGAGAGAATAACATCTCAAACTGGGTTTAAAATATCTTATAGAAAGGATTAGATGGCCAAACAAAAAGCAATTGTTAAAATTTTTTGAAATTGGGAAGAATCGTATGCTTATTTACCTCGATAGCTTAAATACATGAAAAAAATTGCACCAGGATCATTTTATGATCTGTGTCATGATGTGTTTTTTATTAGTAATCGTTGTTACCGTCAATTTCACAGATTATTTTGGACATTCAAACTGTGTTGTGATGCATTTAATTATTGTAAACCCTTGATACAAGTTGATAGCACTCATCTATATGGCAAGTATCGAGGTACATTGCTCATTGCTACAACACAGGATGGTAATAACAACGTTTTTCCTCTTGCATTTGTTGTGGTTGAAAAAGAAACATTACTTACATGGTCGTGATTCTTCTCTCATTTGCGTTTACACGTTACAAATAAACAAGGAATATGTTTAATTTCTGATCGACATCGTAGCATTAAATCGGTCATTGACAATGAGACACTTGGTTAGAGACCGCCAAATACATATCACAAGTATTACATTAGGCACATTGCAAGTAATTTTAATAATCGATTCAAGGATGTGAAACTAAAACAACAACTTGTGAAGTTAGGTAAGAAAGCTTATTTTAAATTTTTTAATCATTTCAAAAATTTTATTGTGCATTTTGATAATTTGTATGCAGGGTATACACCGTGTAAACATATTTTTTATCATAATTTGCAAAGTTTTTGTAAATCTAGCCCTGATGTTGAAAGGTAGATAAGAGGGACATCAAAAGACAAATGAAGCATGACATATGATGCAAATGGTCGAAGATATGGTCACATGACAACAAATTTGTCTGAATGTGTTAACAAGGTTTTAAAGGATTGTAGAAATCTGCCTATCACTGCATTAGTTTCATTGACTTATACCAGGTGCGCTGAGTATTTTAGTAATCGTGGTAGTCGCGGTTTACCGATGTTTCATCTGGGAAAGTTTTCGTTTCAAAGTTGGTTGAAGCTTTGCAAAAAAATCAAGAAGAGGCTTGTTTCTACCAAGTTTGTAGATATGACATTCAATCTTCAAAATTTGAGGTTGAAGAGGCATTTGATCCAATAAGACAAACAGGGGGAAAGAAATGGGTAGTAAATTTAAAGGAACGATATTGTCAATGCAAAAAGTTTACAGCATTTCATTATCCTTGTTCTCATGTTATAACTGCATGTGGTGTTGTTAGCATTGATTACTACCAGTTTATAGATCTAGTTTATACAACTGATTATGTTTTAAAAGCATACTCTAGTCAGTGGGAACCGATCGAAAATGAAGACTTAATCCCTCCGAGTAATGAAGATTGGATACTTGTCCCAGATCCAACATCTGTGCATGGGAAAGGGCGACCAAAATCAACAAGAATTAGAAATGAAGGATTGGATTGAAAGCTCACGACGACAACAAAAATGTAGCATATGCAAACAAGAAGGTCACAACAAGCGCAATTTTCCGTCTAACTCTGATGATCGGTCTATAAGTTTTTAGCATGTTTAGCGTTTTTCAAAACTAATGTAATTATTTATAATAATAAAATGTTTACTCATCATCGTCATCCTGATCTTCGTCATGATTATGACCTCTAACACTACCAAGAGTCAGAATACATCGACGTGGTCGTTCTCTTGTCCTTTGAGGGTTTCTCCAAACACGTGGTTGCGATGGTGGATGACTAGCCTCCGCAAAAAATTGTGGACGCAAATCAACACCCTGTAACGTCAAATTTAACACATAAAATTAAAATATTCATAATAATTATAATAATAAAAATAATAATAAAATACTATATTACCTGTTGTATAAGCACGAGTGATATAATCATCATCATATGAAATATGGAAAGGTACGTGCTAACTCTGTTGCGTGTCATCCTGTGCCACACTTGGTTGTGGAGTTAGTAAAGAGAATTGTCCAAATATATCATTCATCATTTCTGTTGACATAAAGGGTTTCGATGATGACTCTAAACCAAGTGACTCACAGATATCTGTTGTCATTAGAACCGATGTCTCAAAACCTGGTGGGCGTGGTGGTGTGTACCAATATGTAGATTGGGATTGAGATGGATAACTAGCCTCTTGTAAAGGAATTTAGTATATAGTATAACCCTGCTGCTCTGTCTGGCAATGTAGGGTAGGTGTGATCTATAGTCCCAATTTTCATTCTTCGTCGCGATAAACATGCAGCCTCCCTAGACTGTGGAGGAACATTGAAAGTCCCCAAGTCATATAAATCAGAGGGAGGGGGTGCTGCCTCAGTTGGCTCAACGAAACGTGCAACATAGTCATCAGATATGGATAATAATCGATTAGTTTTCTCTGTGACTGATTCGAGTGAAAATTTTGCTCTGCCATTAGGAGATGTCAAGTATGCCAAACATTCTGTTACATCTTCCTACATATAGAAGAAATCAAACAATTAGTTTACAACTTTATAATTTAACAAAATAATGTATTAAAATACGAGTATTAATATGCACATACCACAATTGAGTCTTTAATTTCTTCGGAATCAATGTACAACTTTCCTTTTCTACGGTACCACCTCATGTATTCTGAATTTGGACCTAATAGTCCAACCTGTGGAAGAGTAGGTGAAAAGTGATATGCATATCGATTGCCCCAATGTTATAATGCTGGACTTAATATTGTAGCCTAATCATCTTTAGCCTTACTGCGCAGGGTCAATGCATGCACATGACCAGGAGTCATCGGAGGATTTGGAATTGGTTGTTGACAACCAAATTGCCTCATGACCCTATCTAGCTGATGTCATTCACAAATACATAGGGAAAGTAACGGGATTACAGAACCCCAAATACGGCTCCCTTGTGTGCAGTATTTGGAGTTCTATAATCCCGTTACTTTTTTTATGTATTTGTGAATGGCATCAGGCAAATAGGGTCATGAGGCAATTCGATTGTCAACAACCAATCCCAAATCTTCCGATGACTCCGTGTCATGTGCATGCACTGACCCTGCGCGAAAAGGCTAATGATGATTGGGCTACAATAATAAGTCCAACACTAGAGCATTTGGGCAATCGATATGCATATCACTTTTCACCTACTCCTCCACAGGTTGGACTATTAGATCCAAATTCAGAATACATGAAGTGGTACTATAGAAAAGGAAAGTTGTACATTGATCCCGAAGAAATTAAAGACTCAATTGTGGTATGTGCATATTAATACTCGTATTTTAATACATTATTTTGTTAAATTATAAAGTTGTAAACTAATTGTTTGATTTCTTCTATATGTAGGAAGATGTAACAGAATGTTTGGCATACTTGACATCTCCTAATGGTAGAGCAAAATTTTCACTCGAATCAGTCACAGAGCAAACTAATCGATTATTATCCATATCTGATGACTATATTGCACGTTTCGTTGAGCCAGTTGAGACAACACCCCCTCCCTTTGATTCATATGACTTGGGGACTTTCAATGTTCCTCCACAGTCTAGGGAAGCTGGAGGTTTATCGCGACGAAGAACAACAATTAAGGCTATGGATCACACCTACCCTACATTGCCGAACAGAGCAGCAGGGTTATACTATATTCCTTCACAAGAGGCCAGTTATCCATCTCAATCCCAATCTACATATTGGTACACACCACCACGCCCACCAGGTTTTGAGATATCAGTTTCGATGACAACAACAAATATGTGTGAGTCACTTGGTTTAAAGTCATCACCTGAACCTTTTATGTCAACAGAAATGATAGATGATATATTTGGACAATCCCCTTTACTAACTCCACAACCAAGTGTGGCACAGAATGGCACACAATAGAGTCAGCACGCACCTTTCAATATTCCATATGATGATGATTATATCACTCGTGCTTATACAACAGGTAATATAGTATTTTATTATTTTGTTATTTTTTTTCTTGTTATAATTATTATGAATATTTTAACTTTATGTGTTAAATTTGACGTTACAGGTGTTGATTTGCGTCCACAATTTTCTACGGAGGCTAGTCATCCACCATCGCAACCACGTGTTTAGAGAAATCCTCAAAAGACAGCAAGAGAACGACCACGTCAATGTATTCTGACGCCTGGTAGTGCTAGAGGTCATAATCATGACGAAGATCAGGAAGACGACAATGACGATGATGAGTAGACATTGTATTGTTATAAATAATTACATTAGTTTTAAAAAAGGCTAAACATGCTAAAAACTTATAGACTGATCATCAGAGTTAGACGAACAATTGCGCCTATTGTGACCTTCTTGTTTGCATATGCTACATTTTTGTCGTCGTTGTGAGCTTTCAACCCAATCCATTTCATTTCTAATTCTTGTTGATTTTGGTCGCCCTTTCCCATGCACAAATGTTGGATCTGGGACAAGTATCTAATCCTCATTACTTGGAGGAATTAAGTTTTCATTTCCGATCGGTTCCCACTGACCAGAGTATGCTTTTAAAACATAATCAGTTGTATAAACTAGATCTATAAACTGGTAGTAATCAATGCTAATAACACCACATGCAGCTATAACATGAGAACAAGGATAATGAAATGCTGTAAACTTTTCGCATTGACAATATTATTCCTTTAAATTTACTACCATTTCTTCCCCCATTTTTGTCTTATTGGATCAAATGTCTCTTCAACCTCAAATTTTGAAGATTGAATGTCATATCTACGAACTTGGTGGGAACAAGCTTCTTCTTGATTTTTTTGCAAAGCTTCCACCAACTTTAAAACGAAAACTTTCCCAGATGAAACATCGGCTAAAGCGCAACTACCACGATTACTAAAATACTCAGCGCATCTGGTATAAGTCGACCGAACTAATGTAGTGATAGGCAGATTTCTACAATCCTTTAAAACCTTGTTAACACATTCAGACAAATTTGTTATCATGTGACCATATCTTCGACCATCTACATCATATACTATGCTCCATTTGTCTTTTGATATCTCTTTTATCCACCTTTCAACATCAAGGCTAGATTCACAAAACTTCTGCAAATTACGATCAAAAATGTGTCTACATAGTGTATACCCTGTATACAAATTATCAATAATGCACCATAAAAATTTTGAAATGATTAAAAATTTTAAAATAAGCTTTCTTACCTAACTTCACAAGCTGTTGTTTTAGTTTCACATCCTTGAATCGATTATTAAAATTACTTGCAATATGCCTAATACAATACTTGTGATATGCATTTGGCAGTCTCCAACCAAGTGCCTCATTGTCAATGGCCGATTTAATGCTACGATGTCGATCAGAAATTAAACATATTCCTTGTTTATTTGTAACGTGTAAACATAAATGAGAGAAGAACTACGACTCCGCAAGTAATATTTCTCTTTCAACCACAGCTAATGCAAGAGGAAGAACGTTGTTATTACCATCTTGTGTTGTAACAATGAGCAATGTACCTCGATAATTGTCATATAGATGAGTGCCATCAACTTATATCAAGGATTTACAATAATCAAATGCATCAAAACACAGCTTGAATGTCCAAATAATCTGTGAAATTGACGGTAACCACAATCACAACGATTACTAACAAAAAACTCATCATGACACAGATCATAAAATGACCCTGGAGCAATTTCTTTCATGTATTTAAACCATCAAGGTAAATAAGCATACGATTCATCCCAATCTCCAAAAATTTTAACAATTGCTTTTTGTTTGGCCATCCAAGCCTTTCTATAAGATATTTTAAACACAGTTTGAGATGTCACTTTCCACTTATCATATTTCTTTGACTCAAAGGTTCTCATGTACCATCCACATCCATCATGTGCATTTAGACATCTAACAACCCACTTGGTCTTTTCGACTCAACCACATAAAAACTTTGATGCATTCTCATTGCATTTTGCTTTACTGCATTTTTAACCGCATCTTTATTCTCAAACTCCAACCCCACATATAAATCTCGGCCAATTGACCAACTATTAAGCAGATCCATCCCTGAATATCTTCTTCATCTGGATGATTCTAATTGATGTTAGTGTAGTGGGGTAAATTACCCCAAAATTGACTTCCACCTATTTTAATAATAATAAATATAATAATTTCAATAAAATCAATTTCAACAACTTTTTTTAAACAAATAACACATTATTGACAAATTTAATTTTCAAATATTACCTTCAGTAGATGGATAAATTAAAATTGGTTCAACCATTGGACTATTAACAATAACATCCGACTCCACTTCATTATCAGATGCTTCACAATCATCAATTTTATCTTCATTGGACTCATCAATGCTTTCATATTATAATGAAACATGATAATCTTCATCTGCTTCGTCATCTTCATCTTCGTCTCTTGTGATCAATGGTGATCATTCAATTAACAAATTTTCTAATGAAAATGTTGAAGATTCTTTCATACCTATTTCAGCATATAATTCCATTATTGGCATCACATTTTGGCTCTGAAATGCTTCTATCATGCATTGTACATCATCATCGTCACTCAATTCCAATAAAGAATATATGTTGTTATCATCTTATGAAACTAAAAATCTGTAACTTACAGATAATATCACTTGATTTGACTTAAGACCAAATTTGTTGTGAATCATTTTCTTTAATATATCTAAAGTTATATCTCGTTTAATATACATTCTTTTTCTTGGTCCATCAAATGTTACACCTTGAGAACCTTCATACATCTTTCCAGTGTAAATATAAGCAATAATTTAATTCATAATATCTTTTTAAAAAAATAGTACAAATAGCTATAATTTATATTTTAACTACAACAAAATTTTACTCACAAATTTCAATCAGAGTTCCACCTATTATACTTATCGGTTTGATTTTAAATGTGAACAAAACATAACTGCTAGGAGGGGTATATATACTGCAATAGTCGTTATGAGCCATAGCAACATCATTTTTTCTTTAATTTTATAATAAAATTTTATACTTATTTCTGTGTATTTTTTTTCAATTAATTCAAATAAACCTGAAAAACATGAAAATATATTAAATATGAAACATAGAAAAATAAAACAATAAAAGAAATTAAAAATAATTTATACAATAATTATGCAAAATATAAATTAAATTAAATTAAATTAAAATACATGTCGCTATGGCCCATAACAACACAAAGTCGCTATGGCCCATAGCGACATCTCTTTATTTTTTTTTTAATATTTTCTCTTTATTTTAAATAACAATTTTTATATTTCATTTTCCATATTTAATTTATTAATTCTTTTTCAATTATTTTATTTTATACTTCTTTTTTTATTAAGTTTTATAATTTATCCTTCATTTAATTAAAAATATAATTAATATATATTTTATGATTAAAAAAATATATTATGCAAAGGCGCTATGGCCCATAGCGACACAGTGTCGCTATGGGCCATAGCACCTTTACATAATATATTTTTTTAATCATAAAATATTATATTTTTCAAGTGGGAATGGAACCCATAGCGACTTTAGAAAAGTTGCTACAGGCTGTAGCGATTATTACTGGCTAAATTTTAGTCGTCCTTAATTACCAAAAAAAAAAAAAAAAACACGTGACAATGGTGTCGCTATGGGCCATAGCGACACCGTTGAAAAATGTCCCAAAGGTGTAAATAATTTCAAATAACCCCATTTAAGTAAATAATTTTTAAAAGTGCTTCAAATTGGTCAATCAGTCCCAAGTACTAATATTCCGATATATGTTTTTGATTCTTTTGAAACATAGTATTTCAGAAGAATTCCACTAACTAGAAAATTACAGATACATCCTCCCTCCATATCAAGGTTTTGAAGACCATAGCAACCACTGAACTTGAACCAATAAAGGGAAGTTTCCCCAGTTTACTATTTCCAAAGCTAGTTTTCAGTATTAGTATTGCGGTTCTTACTTAGTCTGAAAGCTTGACAGGCCAGTGATCTACTTTTCCGATTCAAAAGGTCAGACCAGCCAGTCCAGTTTTCAGAATCAGAACTACGTTATTACTATAAGACATTCTACATGGCTATACACAAACTAATGTTCAAGATAGAAACTTCACAAAGCTCAGGGTATACATTTATTATATACACTATACAGTCAGCCAGATTGCATGCCCCAAGTTCCCAAATAAAAATGATTTTGAGCTCTCAATTCAAAGCTTTTTTCTAATGTTACATCAGCATTAAACCCACTTTTGCTTGACCATATCACAGAGATTCTAGAAGGCAGTTACAATTATTTGGAACTATCAGCACAATCGACATAACTTCAAAGTACCAAAACTGCCTTGAATAATTTCCAATCAAAAGCAAAGAATTTATGGCACTAATACTATTATGCATAACAGATTAGGACAAAATGGTAGCTACAAGTAACACAAAATTAGAAAACTAAAATTAGAAGACATACAAGATTCAGCTTTCCCTTTCTAGTATCAATTGGTGGACGTCTCTGTCAAATGAGAAGAAAATTAGACAGGTTTTTTTATTTATTATTAACACATTACAGTCTTACAGTTGGTATTTAGTATAGTCTTGTATAGTATTGTATGCTAAAAAAAAGCATACAATTTTGAATTCTATGACAAGTCTCATAAATATAATACTAACTTTTAATAAATCAATACAGGAGTATCAAAATCCACATGGAATTGTAGTTAAACTAACTTGTGATCAATTACATACCTTACAATATTTCTTAAAGACAGAAAAGATAACATCATCATCTACAATCACTTCTGCATGCTTTCGAACTACGGTGATCCACTAGAAATTCAAAATAAATTCAAATTAAGACATAATTTCAAGAAACAAATGTTAAAAAATTTATCCAATAACCTCAATGTAACAAATAAGGTCCATTTGATATCAAAAGCAACTCATAGCTAAGCTTTGATTAAACACCCAAATTAGAAATTGCACCCATAACATGACAAGTGGAGCTTCTTGACTTTATTAGAAGGCACTTAGAAGTGTCAAATTTGTGGAGCAACATTGGTTGTAGTTTTCAATCAGAGTATCAGACAACCAAAAACCAAGGTTTCCTCTAACTAATTTGAAAAGGGAAGGCATATCTTGCCTCTATATTTTAAACCATTAATCAACCTATAGGAAACATGGTAGTAAGTATCGGATGTATCCCAATTCGTATCGTACGATACGATACGATTCCAAGGCTCCGCGATTCGAATCGCAAGTCGTCTCATTTTTTATCAAGAATCGCATAAGAATCGTGCGTATCGTGGCGTGAATCAGAAAAATCGCGATTCTGGACTAAATCGCTCGATTTCAAAATAGTGGATCATGCCACGAAACCAGGTCAGATCATGGAGACCCAATTCTGGAAACCCTAAAAAAATAGTATTTTTTAGAAAAGAAAAAAAAAGCAGAAAAGAGAGGGAAAGTGCCGATCTGTCTTCTTCTCCGACGAATCTCCGTCGATTTGTCTTCTTCGGCGGATCTCCGTCGATCTGTCTTCTCTGACAACGGCTCTGCCTTCACCGACGGTGGCTATGTCTTCTCCGGCATCTGGAGACCTATTTTCTTCTAAGAGGGAAACAGGGTCACGGCTTAAGTCTCACCATTAGAAGGGTTAGGATAAATAGTTAGGGTTGAAAGTTGGGCCCAAATGAGCCAAGTTTTATTTTATCTTTTAATTTGGTTAAGAGACCTTTTATTTCACTATTTTTTTTTTAGAAAGTAACTTCTATTTATTATTAATTATTATTATTATAATTTAGATAATATTTTTTAAGTAATAAAAAATTTAATATAATACCTTAAATATTTTGTTTTCTTTATCTTTTTATTTTGTTTAACTACAGATTTGGCCTTCACTATTTTTTTTTTAAGAAGGTAACTTCTCTTTATTATTAATTATTATTATAATTCAGATAATATTTTAAGTAATAAAAAATTTAATATAAAACCTTAAATATTTTGTTTTCTTAATTTTTTTATTATTTTGTTTAACTACTATAAATTTTAATTATTGAAATTATTTAATGTATAAATTAAGTTATGTTTCTATTTTTATATGTATATCATTAATTATATGTATTATAAATTATTTAATATTTATATATATATGTAAAAATAAATAAATTAGAATATATTTATATATTATTAACTATATATTAATGTATGATTTCATTTTTATGTTTGTTTATGTTAAAATGTGCCTTAAATACTTAAATAAATAAATAAATATATATATATATAATATATTATATTATATGTATACTATATTTTTATTGATCATGAATCTTACAATTCACGATTCAAAATATAGGCTTTCCGATACACTATTTGTATCCTGATTCAACTACCATGATAGGAAACAGCTTAAAACTAATTCTACCTGAAAAGCAAAGTGAAATGGAACATTGGGCACAGTTTTGCAACCCTTACTGGTTTAGAAATTTTTAAAATAAATCAGTCATATGAATTCAAGTTGATTTGTAACTAGTTTGAATTTATTCTTAGTCTGGTTGGAATTTGTCATCAGCTCCAAAATTTTGTAACCATGACCAGATTTAAATATAAAGGAAACAGAGAAACTTATAATTCAAATATTATGAGAAAGTAAAGAGATAATGTTAAAAACAAAAAAAAAAAATAGGGAAAAATAAAAGACCATCATTAATACAAATGGAATACACTAAAACCAATGCTATATATTGGTTTTTCCCGAACTGCATTTAACCGAGTTCAATTAGAACTAGTTAAAGCTTTTGGTACTTTCTACTAACACTCAAAAATTTTAAAAAATAGTTCCATTGTATCTAGTTCTCTAGCTTTTAGAGTTTGGCTAGCCAAAATAATGTTTCTCCTTTAGCAAGCAAGTATCAGCTAAAATTATGTGTTTACAAGAAAAGGCTACTAACGCTGGACGAATATAAATTTTTTCAGACCCTTTTTAAATCACATTATTTTTATTTTTATTGGTAATAAAATAAAGTGTCAAGGGTTATCAACCATGCCTAATAAATGGTACACCAATAAAAGCAAGAAAAGGAAAAAAAAATAATTGGGCCCTCAAACCTGAAACATATAGGCAAAAAAAGCCACACCAACCAAAAAGAAATAAATCAGATCCGCAATGTACCAAGGGAAGATAAAAATGAAATTATGAATTAGCTTTAAAATCCATGTAAAAGTATGATAGATTTTGGCTACCTTTGTTGGAACATAATTTGTGTCAGATAGCCTTTGCAAATTTTCCATGAAATAATCAGTACAATCTGGAATTTGAAGCTCACTACCACGGACATATGTCTCCTAAAGAATGTAAAATATGTGGTTCACAATACTAACTAACTGATGCAAGAAGATAACTACATAGCAAGATTTAAGTAAAAGAAGCCAAAGTATTATATTTTTAACACGGCTCCTCATGCAATAGCCATTTGGGCTTGAAGTATGGATAATGCACATGTCCAACTACCATGTGCCAAAAATTCAACTTTACATCTGAAGAATGGGGATGATTTCGTCAGAGACTTTGATATCATCTCATGAACCAACTATCCCAAAAGCTTAAGCTATTAGGTAAAGACAGATGGCTGGTTTTATATTATATTTCTAATAAATTCTTTGATAATTTGACAAAGAAACAGAATTCCACTAAAAAATAAGAAGCCTGTGTATAATTAAATACCATTATTACATTCATTCATTTGAAATGATATGCATTGTGAAATGGATGAACGTGTTAACATTTTCTACATGCCCACACTTAAAAGTACAAGGAAAAATAGTTTTGTAGTATTTTGCTTTACTCATCAACCAATTACAAAGTAATACTCACCGTTACACTATCTCCACTTTGCCGCCCTGAAAGAGAAGTGAATGACATATAATCCAAGTCTTTGTGCATATTCCACTCTATCTAAAATTGCACTAACATATATAAGCATAATATTAATACCATGTGATACATAAAAAGATGGAAAAATTATTTTCTATTTTTGAAAGCTGTCAGTTAGTTACACCAAACAAGGGAACACAAATGCCGACCCTCATTTCCTTGCCATGCTCACCAAAAACTCCTCGCAAAAGAAACCTTTCCTTTAGATTGTAGAATTTCCCAAATAAACAAGACCTTACCATTTTACCTTTGGATTCGATATACAAAGTAGACCAAGCGCCAGAGGAACCTGTGGATAAGGTAAACTCATTCAATGAGAAAATGCATACCAGACTAGCCGCAGCACTAGTCTCCCCATGTTCCTTATTTTTGAAAATCCAATTTCCAAAAGAACCACTGCTTGAAGAATCTAATGAAACGGTCATTAATTTATCCTGCAAAACAATAATGGGAAGAGAGGGAAGTAGAAGACTGAAAAATTATTTCGTTATCCTAATATAGTGATCTCCCTCTAGCTTTGCCATTTGACAACATCAACAGCTAAAAAGACTTGACTGCATAATGTAGCCTAGGTGTGTGCTGATCCCTATATGATGTAGCCTAGAAATATTATTTTGTTATCCTAATATAGCGATATATTTCTATGTAGGCTTTGCTAAAATTTGGCATTTACTCAAATGTCCGAGTATGCAGGGATTGTTTCAACAACACGCGGTAAATTACTTTCTCGTGAGCTTCACAACATGTTATTATATTTCATTTGGTTACAAAACAAGATATGTTTCTGTTCGTGCTTAAAACACTTTAATTAAGCTAAGATGTATTTATTAGCAGTTCAATGTCATATGAGTACCTGGAAATTTAATGTATTCTCCACCTTAAGATTAAGATTGACTATTACCTCTCAGTCAGACTTGAATCACCAGAACCCAAAACATCCTTAGAAATTACCTTTTATTTATCACCATAAAAATATATTTTGAAAATGCGTTATTCTCACCTAACATACTCGTGGCCACAGGAACCAATGTCACCCTTAGAACCCAATAATCTATACTTAAGGCTTTCCTAACAAAGCCATAGGAAATATTCGGTACAAAAATTGACTTATAAAAGTCTTAAAAGGCATTTGAATGAAGGAGCACCACCAAGCCTGAACACAACCAAGGCAATCAATTACCGAAAAAATTTCAATTTCTAACACAGCAAACTTACTCGTTTTCCTTCAGCAGACATTGTGAGGGCCAACACCAATAAAATGTCCATCAGGTACTTCTGCATAATGAGTTAACCAACAAAACACCAAACTAATATCTTTTATAAAGGTAGCAGCAACACTGTAGCACACGAATAACAATACCTTCAAATCAGACTTCCCCATAGTTTCGTAATACGCCTTAAGAGTGCCATAATGAGGGCGAGGAAACTTCAATGGCTAAGGAACTGAAGTCATGGAACTCGTCGAAGTTTGAATTTCTTGTTTACAAAACACAACCACACATCCCAATTTCAAACACAAAATTATATATAAAAAGAAAGCTAAAAATCCTTATTCAAATGAAAATTTGTTCAGATTTACCTCATGCTCTCCAGTGCAACCTTCTGCAATCCCTGGTCGGGATCCTGAACCCTCTCCACGTACAACTCTAGTTGCTGCTTCAAAGCCAAATTCTCGTCGGATTGCACAAATTACCACAATCGATTTTCATTTTGCTGCAAGAGACTCCACGTACAACTCTAGTTGCTGCTTCAGAGCCAAATTCTCGTCGGATTGCACAAATTACCACAATCGATTTTCATTTTGCTGCAAGAGAAAGCAGAGTAGAAATTTGCGGTCTAGAACATACGAGAGAAAGTTTGAAGGGAGGCTTTTGAACTCACCAAATCTTCGTTCTTGACCTTCTTCCTTGCAACGGTGTCGTCTTTGGCGCCGTTGTTATCGGAACGATTAGGACCGGGCACCATCGAAGAAATTGAACCCTAAAAGTGAGAAGTTGAAAGGGATGTAACTGCGACAGTGAAGGATTTTGAAACAAGTTTAAGAGGCATAGAGGCGTGTGCGTTTTGATTTTTATTCTTTTAAAAATAATTAAATAATAATAATTAACTTGGTCACGTGTGAAACAGGTATTTAAGGAGCGGTTTTAAACTCCTAAAAATTTGATTCTCTTGTAGAATTATAACATTTTGTAGTGATTTTTTGAAATAGAAAAAATAATTACTTAATTTTTTGTAGTGTACGATAAAGATTATACAAAGCATATTAGGTATATCATATCATATCTAACTAGAGAAATATTCAATCATATCAGAATATAGAATGTCTAATCAAAACATTTTTATGAGAATAAACAATAAGATATATATATATCAGTCAGAACATATTATAGGGCATCTAGTTAGTGTTAGAAAATATTAAATAATACTATAATGTGACTCGTGTGAATTAAGAATTTAAACGTAATTTAATAAAATAAAAAGACTTATTGACAAATATGGGAAGTTATTATTTTCAAATTTTATAACTGCTGATAACTAACTTGATGGAAGTTAGTTGAATAAGAGGAACTATTTGGGTTCTATCTCTGTCATATAAAACAACTCTCACTGTTTTACTATCAAAGAAAGTGATGTGAGAATATGAAGTATGGGAAGAGATAAATTAGGAAAATGTGATTGAAGAACTTATTCTCATTACGGTTATCATGGATCAAGGTAAGTCTTTCTTACTATTAAAGTGCATGTGAGAATCATAAATTTCAAGATCCTAAGACATGTATAAATTATTAATATGCGATTGAATGAAATAAATAACTTACATGTGGTATCAGAGTCTGGTTGTAAAATTTATGATTCTCCATTAATTAATGATGTTTTCCCAATTTTATAAATCCTAATTCTAATTGAAAATGAATCAAGAACCATATTTTTCGTTGTGTATATTGAGAATGTTTCAATTTGAAATGTCCCTTAAAATCGATCCTGTTACGAGAACCATCGTATTATGGATTTTATCAATTGCTTAAAATATATATATATATATATTGAATTGAAATGGAATTGTCGAATCGTTTTCTTCATTGTGAATTTCAATTTCAATTAGAAATTAATTGGAATCATGCTATTATGTTTTCGTTGTGCTTCTCGGAATTGTTTTCAATTTGGAATGGTTTGAAATGAAATTAATAACCTTCCTATACATGAAATTCAATTTGACATGTAATTGGTTGCAATATTGTCAATGATTATATATATATACATATATATATATATATTATTTTATGAATATATATATATATATATATATATATATATATATATATATATATATGTGTGATGTGATTAGAATTAAGGGAATTTAGTCTCATTTAACTAATACCCACAATTACAACATGTGTGTGTATTTTGCTTAGAATTGCATTTATATTTTAGGATTAAATGTATGATAGATTTATAATCACCAAAGTGGTCAAATCTTTATGTTTTAGTTAATTCCAAATTCATAATGAATTTTATTTTAATTACCCATAGAATGGATGCTAAATTATAAATTATTGGTTTATGGGTTGATTGAAGTTTATTGTTATAAGACATTTATGGATCACTCAAAGGTTGATTAGTTGTTCTTATAATTAATGGATATGATTGTTGGTAGTGAGTATGCATTATTAGTTTTATTTATTTATCCAAAGATAATAAGTATTTCAAATTAGTGCATATGTCTTGCCAAATAATGTTAATATTATTAGCATCATCATGTTTTGTATATTACTATATCACCCAAAGGAGAACATTAGTATACATAAAATGTTTGTTTGTTGTTTGAATCTGTACTGTATATTTAACTTGTGACTCAAAGTCTTAATGTTAAACATGTGTTAATTGCAGTGTCTGTTCCTTAATCTTTACACTCTCATGCTATGTCTATTTCGGTCTTTAATGGGTTGAATTTCTTTGATTGGAGCGAACAAGCCCAATTTCACTTAGGTGTATTGGATCTTGATTTGGCTATTCAAGTTGAGAAACTTGTTGCTATTACTAATGCTAGTAGTGATGAAGAAAAAACATATTATAAGGCTTGGGAAAAGTCGTGAAGTTTATTAGAATGAGCATAACAAGTAACATTAAATCTACTCTTCCTCAAACTGAAAGTGCAAAAGAACTTATGAAATTTGTGGAAGAGTACTGCCAAACTGTTGATAAGTCTCTTACTGGGACATTAATGAGTACCTTAACCACCATGAAGTTTGATGGATCTCGTACTATGCATGAACATGTTATTGAAATGACAAATATTATAGCAAGACTTAAGTCTCTTGGAATGGCAGTGGATGAAAATTTTCTTGTGCAGTTTATTTTGAACTCATTACCATCTGAGTATGGTCCTTTCCAAATGAACTATAATACCATGAAAGACAAATGGAATGTGCATGAATTGCACAGTATATTAGTTCAGGAGGAAACCAAACTTAAGAATCAAGGAAATCACTTCATTATGTGAATAATCAGGGAGCTGAAAAGAAAGTTAATAAGAAACATGGAAAGGGAAAGGGACCATTGAAGATTGTTGACTCCTCTACTAAAATCCAGAAGAAAACTGACAAATGTCATTTCTGTGGGAAGTCTGGTCATTTCCAGAAGGATTGCCCAAAACGTAAAGCTTGGTTCGAAAAGAAGGTGAGCATAATGCTTATGTATGTTTCTAATCTAATTTAACTGAAGTTTCCCATAATACTTGGTGGATTGATTATGGATGTACAACTCATGTTTCTAACATGATGCAGGGATTCCTTACAACCTGAACCATAAGCCTAAATGAGAAGTTTTTCTTCATGGGGAATAGAGTGAAAGTTCCAGTGGAAGTCGTTGAGACTTATCGTTTAATCCTTGACACTAGATTTCATTTAGACTTGTTTGATACTTTTTATGTACCTAGTATTTCTAGGAATTTAGTTTCCTTGTCTAAACTTGATGTTGCTGGATACTCTTTTAGGTTTAGGAATAATTGTTTCAGTTTGTATAAGCGTACTTGTATGATTGGATTTGGTACACTTTGTGATAGATTATATAAATTAAATCTTGATAATTTATATGTTGAAACTCTTATGACCTTCCATCATAATGTTGGCTCTAAACGTAGTTTAGTGAATGAACGTTCTGCTTACTTGTGACATAAGCGTTTAGGACACATTTCCGAAGAAAGGATACAAAGATTAGTAAAGAATGAAATCCTTTCAGATTTAGATTTTACTAATCTTAATATATGTGTGGATTGTATTAAAGGTAAACAAACAAAACACACAAAGAAAGGAGCCACAAGAAGCACTCAACTTCTTGAAATTATACACACTGATATATGTGGACCTTTTGATGTTAATTCTTTCAATAAAGAAAAGTACTTTATCACTTTTATTGACGACTTTTCATGTTATGGGTATGTCTATTTACCACATGAGAAATCTCAAGCGGTGAATGCCTTAAAAATTTATATAAATGAAGTAGAAAGACAATTAGATAGAAGGGTAAAACTTGTCAAGTTAGATAGAGGTGGTGAGTATTATGGAAGATATGATGAAAGTACATGGACAAAATCCTAGTCCATTTGTTAAGTTCCTTGAAAAGCGTGGTATTTGTGCTCAATACACAGTGCTAGGTACATCACAACAAAATGGTGTTTCAGAAAGGCGTAATCGAACCTTAATGGATATGGTTAGAAGCATGTTAAGTAATTCATCTTTACATGTATCATTGTGGATGTATGCTTTAAAAACTGTCATGTATTTGTTGAACAAGGTTCCTAGTAAGGCAGTTCAAAAGACACCTTTTGAACTATGGACAGGTATGAAACCCAGTTTAAGACACATGCATGTTTGGGGTTGTCAGGCAGAAATTAGAATATACAATTCGCAAGAAAAGAAATTGGATTCAAGACCAATCAGTGGGTATTTCATTGGTTATCCAACAAAATCAAAAGGGTATATATTTTACTGTCCTACCCATAGTACAATAATTGTTGAAACTAAAAATGCTAGGTTCATTGAAAATGGTGAAACTAGTGGGAGTGAAACTTCACGAAATGTGGAGATTAAGGAAGTTAGAGTACAAGTTTCTTTAACTAGTGCTTCTACTTCAAGAATTGTTGTTCCCCATGTTGTTGAACCAAACAACAATCAAGAAGAACAACAAATTAATGATCATGTGGTTAACAATGAACCTGTAGTAGAACAACCATAAGAAATAGTATTAAGAAGATCTCAAAGGGAAAAGAGATTTGTTATTTCAAATGACTATGTGGTTTATCTACAAGAGTCAGAAAATGACTTAAGCATTGATAATGATCCAGTTTCATTTTCAGAAGCTATTAATGGTGATAATTATGAAAAATGGTTAGATGCCATGAATGATGAGCTTAAATCAATGACACAAAATGATGTATGTGACCTTATGGAATTGCCTGAAGGGTGCAAGAGAGTTGGGTGTAAATGGGTCTTTAATACTAAGTGTGACTCTCATGGCAATATCGAACGACACAAGGCTTAACTTGTTTCCAAATATTTTACTCAAAAGGATGGCATTGATTATAAGGAAACCTTTTCTCCGATTTCTAAGAAAGATTCTTTCAGAATTATCATGGCATTAGTAGCTCATTATGACCTTGAGTTACATCAAATAGATGTTAAAACTATCTTTTTGAATGGGAATTTAGAAGAGAATGTTTATATGGACCAACCAGTGGGGTTCATTGAAGAAGGAAAGGAACACATGGTGTGTAAACTTAAGAAATTAATATATGGACTTAAACAAGCTTCTCGACAATGGTATATATTAAGTTCAATGATACTATTATGTCCTTTGAATTTAAGGAAAACACTGTTGATCGGTGTATATATCTTAAGGTCAGTGGGAGCAAGTTTATATTTCAAATTTTGTATGTTGATGACATCTTGCTTGCAACTAATGATCTTGGTCTATTAAGTGAGACTAAGAAGTTTCTCTCTAACAACTTTGAAATGAAAGATATGGGTGCGGCAGGCTATGTGAACGGAAT